TGTCTTGTCCACAGGGCCCAGGGGTCATTGTCTCGAGCCGCACCTGGACATCGTGTGTCAATTGCTACCAGCAGAAATCACTTGTTTTTGCCCATTAAACTAATGAGCACAATTACGAGCGCCTCTTTTTCTGAGTGGAAGAATTTGAAGAATCTGTCTGAGGAGAAAGCACCTGGTTAAGGGCCGTGCAGCTGTCTGCCAGCAAAATGATTGACACAACCGGAGCTCATTTTGAGAGGGATAGGGTGTCTAGAGTGGATGGGATGGTCTTCTTCCAGCATCACACAGAAAGGATGTGCATCATCTGGTGCTCCACACTGCAGGCCTTTGATCGCTGTGTTGATGCATGGGGCGGCATGGGTAGTATGGGGAGGTTTATGGTGGTCTAGTTTTATGGGGAGTGGAGTTCTAAATGCAGTGCCTCTTATTTCCATGGGGAACATCTTAATATTTGGCGAAGACAGGTCACAGCAAATATAATTTTAGCAGACCGCAGCCTGTGAGCACCTGTGTTGCCAGACATTTGCTTTTAGAATGAGGGGTGGGACCACCTATCCACATACTTGTGGAAATGCCTACAAGCTATACAGAAGATAAAAAACATGCAATTATCCTCAATTGTTAACAAAAATGCACAATTACCTTTCCTAAACTATCAGGATCATGTTAGATTTCTCTGCCCGAGATTTCCTTTTCTCTGAAATTCTTTCTTCTGACGTGACACCTCAAAGGAAATTGTATGTGTATTTTTAAATGGTTTGAAGCTAAATACTCACCGGAGGCCCGCTTGGTCCCCTCTCCCCTTTCTCACAAGCACATCGCTCAGCCAGAGGGCACTGCAGATAAGGAGACATGTTTGCTAATCCGTTATGAATGTACCTCTTCACACTCTGACCTAATCCCACATTATTCATTTTCAAAAGATTGAGCTGTCAAATTGTAATTATACTTACTCCTTCATTAGCCAAGCCAGTCTGCAAAGAAAACCAAAGTTAATGAATATCTGCAAGAGTATTAATTAAATCAATAATGTGATCCCAAGTGGGATTTGTTCACACATTTATTAGCACAAATGAAAGTTAATGAAATGTCATGCACAGAAAAAACAGTTTGGGAAAACCAAAGGTATAGACACAAAAGAGAAGAATGACAAACAACATTCCTGAAAACTTCAAGTCAGTTTTAAGTCATTTCTGTGAGCCCCATGGTACGTGTTCATTCAGCAGTATTTTCTCTAAAGCTTAACATCCAGAGCTGTCAAAGATATTCTTTCATTTGTTTCGCCAGAACATTTTCCTCATTCCATCGCCATTCAACTACCTGAATGAGCCTGTCCATGTGTCAACGTTGAATAGCTCTTTAGTCAAAGTAAATACATCTATTTTCTTCTCAATGGTGCTTGCAGACAGAGAGGTATTATACTCACAATCTCAGTGGCGATTCTTTCAACTATGCCTTCGTCCTGTAAATTATGGAGGAAGCGGGACGCTGGGGAGCTGGCGATTAGACGAAGCTGGGCTACATTGGCCGGCTCGTTGGCTGCCCGGGTGATGCCCAAAGTGAAGAACTTCACGCCCTGGTTCTTGGCGTCAGCAACAGCGGAGAAAATGTCGGGGTTCCTTGGGTGGGAAATACCGTCCGTAAGCAGCAGGGCTACTTTAATGCTGCGGGGACTGGATTCCTCCAGGTAGAGCTGGGTCATGTTGGTGATGGCGTAGGTGGTGTAGGTGCCGTGCCCGATGTAGACGACGGGAGTAATGCGGGCCTTAAAGTTCTCTGTGCCCCTCCAGTCTCTGAAGGTCTGCTCTGTGATCACGTGACTGCTGTACTGCAGCACAGCCACCTTCAAACTCAGGCTGCGGCCGGTCTGCAGCTGCACGCCGTGCAGCCGGTCCACCATGTCCACGGTGAGCTGCTTCTCCTGCTCGTGATTGTCCTTGGCGCTCTCCGAGCTGTCCAACAGGAAGGAGAGCTCCAGGCTACAGTCCTCATCGAGGATGGCTGTGTGCACACAGAGCGGGATGAGGGGGGTCTGATTAAGTGACATGCATTTGGGTTGGACTTCATGTCAACAAATCTATAAGTCTATAAGTCTTCAACACGGGTGAAAACTGAAGATTAGTTCAATCAGAGTTGGATATGAACAATGCATGAACATAGCATGGTAGCAACTCGATGATAACTTTCATGCATTAAAAAGAGAAAATACTTTAAATAAAATTCACATTCTTACCTTGTCCGTCATGAATATTTGAAACCAGGGGTTTGGTCCGGTATTTCTTGCTAATTTTCTTCTCTTCGTAAAAGTCTTGGGCCCAGACGGTGGTCAGTGCTGTAACCAGCAGCACCACTCTGGCAAACAACATTCTTGTCCCAAAATATGGAGGAAACGGAAAATATTTCAATCAAACTCGATATCCGAATCGGAGTGAAAAAGTTTGTGCAGCCTTGCATTTAACTGCTCAATTAAATACAAACTGTAAAAATACAAAATACTGTACACTTGTTGTAATTGCCAGGTGTATTCTCAAAATAAATGAGTAGTTTATTTTAACATCAAACTAGTCCAACTTTGAAAATGCGGAAATTTCTAGTATTTCAGTGCCCTATTTCAAGAGCAAGTAGTCGGAACAGTCGAGGACGTCGGTGCACAGCAAGATCCGCTTAGCTCATTGATGGAACGGCAGCAGCAGCGTCAGTCATCCTGAAGAGGAGAGAGTGAGACACCCCGAGACGCTCACTCCTCCTTTATAGGAAGGCACCGACGGAGCAGATCCCTCAGGGCAGGGGAACTGACAAACGTCTGCAACAGTGAAGCCACATTGTGTGCGTTAGCTGAGAGGTTTAGTGTGTTGGTACGTGGGTTGGTCTATAATGCCACAGAATTATTGATTTACTGTAAATCTAAACAACATATTTAAATGGGTTTGATTCTATGTATTATCTCACAAAGTTTGCTCTGTCTGTTTTACACTGACGACCTAAAACAAGCATAGTAGTAGTGTTTGACGTCAGTTCAAACGTGATTGACGATTGGTTGAAATTGTTTCCATGATGTTCCTCATTGCCCAAAAAAATGCCTCTACCTTGTCATATGCAAGTGCCTTCATCATTTAAGGTTAATTTTTAAACATAGGAAACAGTAAGGATGAGGGTGGTCATCTGTATCTTTTAAAATTGTATGAAATCAGTAAACTTAAATATTTTTCAGAATAAAATAGCATCTGTAGAACATTGCAACAATATGAAATGGTTAAAAGAGGGTTTCGAAATAGAGGCGTTAATGCTATAGGATACATTCCAGTTGCAAAGGGTTGAAAGTTTAAAGGTCTGAATGGCAGAGGCCCGGCCACCTTTGGTCTCTACCTTGAACCTAAAATGATCATAACAATCCTGCCTGAGGAAAAAAGGTTAAGGGAGACATTTTCTAAATGTATTATAAAATTACCAAGCAATAACACACAGAGCAGAACAACATGTGAGTGAAATCCTGCTGTTTCAATTAAGAAACAGCTGATCACAGAATCAACAGAAACCTAAACTTTTGTGAAATTCCCTTTTCACTTTCTTTGGACTATTGTGGTTTTTTTAACCTTTAATTATACTTTTGGGAGGAGGGTGTAACAACCTGTGGGCGAGTGACATGTAATACATCTTAGCCATAGTTGGCACTTTACCTTCCAGACACTAAAAGATGATCATCTGACCGCTTGCTATTGAGCTGACCTTTTCGCGGTCTGGTTCAAATGGGGCTGATCCCACGCAGGCTGTCTGAGGATTCATGGCCGCACGCTGTGCCGGAGGTGATGAGGCGCTGTGTCGAAAAGCTGCAGGCAAAAAGTAATTAGAGCAGACTGACACAAAGGAATGTTTCACAGAATGATGGCTTGACAAAATCCACCCGTTCACTCTGCTCTACGATGAATGACATCCTTTCGTAGTTGCTGCAACAACATTTGCACAATTGTGAAGATTGTTGTGCGTTTAGGTTTTCTGTCATGCGCGTCCATCGCTGACTGAGTGCTTTTGTTTGTGTTTTCCTTTCTGCTCGTGACGCTAGTTACAGAAGTTTAGAGCGGTCTGCCAATTGAATATTCTAAACCACGACTTTTTGACTAAAACTAACTGCTGAATGACCAGGTCAATATTACTATACTTATTATATACTTTTAAAAAAATGTTTTAACTCTGTACCATTTGTCATCCCTAAAATCCTCATGTGAGTTATGAAGATACAATGTTGGACGGCATCTAATATGAGAAGCTGTGTGACAACGTTGGACAACACAAGTACACACTCTGGTCCTCTGCAGGTTATAATATGCAGGGATAAACTCCAAACATCTTATTTCCGGGTGTTATCCACAGGTGTACGACACACAGGTACACAGATTCCTCTTCAGTCATCTGCACCCCGATGGAAGGCAAATCTGCGATCAAACCCTTTAAAAACAATCAGTGGGAGACATGCTGCCTTTTGTTCGAGTAAGGGAATTAATAGTCTTTTGATGAATACATGCTCAGGGGATCAGGCCTTAAACATACATAATAGTAAGAACGGTTCCAAAATGACAGTAGGCTACATCAAATTCAGGAACCTCTAGGTAAAACCAGGTTGCTAGTTGCACTTATATGATGGCAGACCTCCTTGGAGAATACCAGGACATTCTTATCCAGAATTTCAGAATAAAAGTGCTTTAAAATCTCATTCTAATTCAGAGTTTTGGATTAGATTTGAAAGGAATGGGTCAATAGTTATAAGACAAGATTAAATTGGTTAATAACTACGTCTAAATACGATATAACATCTTCTCTTTGGAATAATAGCAGGCTGACTGTAGCTCGCTCTTGTTAGATGTAGTGTTTCTCGTAGCGGGCCGTCCGTCGATGGTTATTCTATTCTTTTTATTCTTCAAGGTGAATTAAACTTTGCACATGAGGGGGTCCCAATGAAGACGTAATCCAAAAAGCTTAGACACACACAGATGAGCATTCTCAAGTGAGGTGTATGGAGGGATTTATTGGATAAACATTTGAACAGTTGATTTAGATTAAATATAACATTGTAACATTTGTTTTGGTTACAAATGAGCAAACAAAGGAGAAAACATTGGTGAGAAAAACACTCTTTCATATTGGTAACGTTCAGTCCATCATGTGGCGAAGCTTCTTATTTAACTCCCTTTCTTGTAGAAGAAGGCTGGTGCTGTGATCTTTGAATGCTTGAAAATCCTGCAAAAAAGTAATGGCAGATGTGTTAAGCATGTTCTCAGCCCCACACGGCCACAGACAATCACACTTTTTCATGTCACAGATTTCAGCAAACCTCTTCCAGCTTTCTATATTTTGACGCGGATTCATCCAGAGCAGACTGGATCGACTTCACTCTAACATCTGCATTGACGGCTTCTGCTTCCTGTTCAAACCTGAGGCAAAGGTCGGGGACATAAACTCAGGGACAAATACTTGTTATCCTTCAGACATTCTTTAAAAGAAGAAGACGGTTGTCAAGGAGCAATTTACCTGTCTTCTGCTTTGGAACGGGCTTTTTTCTCTTCTTTCCATCTTTTCTCCAGTTGCTGAATTTCCTTTTGTTTCTCCTGTATTTAAGAGGAATTTGTGTGTACGTGAAGGAGTTGGCTCGTTCAAGGAGAGCTTTGATTTCAGTGTGGACATTCACCTGTATAACTTCCCCTCTTTCCATAGACAGATGGAGCAATTTGTCCCTCTCTTTGGTGAGGCGTGTTATGCTTTCTCTCAAGTTGATGTCCTTCAAAGCCTGCTCTCCTTCAGCATTTTGTAGCTTCATCTCAAGGTCTGATGAAGAAGAGAAGGCCTCAAGTTTGGAAGTGCTCTGCGGTATTTTGGAGAATGACACGACGTTGACTATACCCACCGTTGCACATCTCTACAGCATCTCTTTCTTTTTCCTGAGCGTCCTGCAGTTGATGGAGGAGCGATGCGTCTCTGGATTGATGCTGAGTTGTTTTTTCCAGGAGTTTTGACTGCCATCCAGATAATTTTTCTCTTAGTAATAGAGGAAAATACAGCAAAGGTAAAAAATAAACTCAGCTCATACTCACGTCATGTCTGTAGTTTTTACTAAAAAGATTCATAATAGCAGTTGATTAATTATTAGTGGATCAAGCAATAATTGACTTTCAGCATTGACTCATTGTAGTTTTTCTTCTTACCGATACTCATTTTCCTTATTTGTCTGTTTCTCTGTCAGCTGTTTGATCTCTTGCTTCAGTTTTTGAACAAGCAGTTCTTTATCATGTAATTTCTGGGAGAAAAGAGTTTCATTTTCCAACTGCAGCTGTTTGTTTACCGTCTTTAACTGTGAGTTCTGCTCCTTGTGGTCATTCATGAATGCAATAATTGCTTGATTGTTGGCAGCTAAATCCATAAACCTCTTCTTCAACAGCTCTCCTTTCTTTCTTTCACCGTCCAGTTCTTTCTGGTGTGCTTCCACTCGGCCCTCCAGCTCCGCGTTGAGTGCTTGCAGAGCTTGACTCCTGAGAAGCACATCATCTGCTCTCTGTTTCAACATGCCAATTAGACTGGACTGTTCATCTATCCTGGATCTCAGCATCCCCGTCTCCTTTGCTCCCTCCGCAGAAAGACTGCAAAGTTCCGCCAGTGACCTCCAAGGGCCGTCCACATGCTGGGAACAAGCGGGGAAATAAAAGCCAGTTTGAAACATTTAAGATGATACGTCAAAGATAATTGCAATAACTAAAGCTGACATTTATTATTGACAATTAGACACTTTATTGGTAATTTGTTTTAATTGTTAGACGCAAATACATCTAAAAAAACGCTTGATTGAAGTGCATTGCGCTGCAATAAATAAATAAATAAATGTATTAGCAGGGTCAATTGGTGGGCTTTAGTTTGAAAAGCGCCACAAGTTAACACGCGCTTCAACGTGTAGCGCAACGAGGAACCGTGTAGCCTACACGTTGACACGTGACCAACTCTAACAAACGTCGCAGCCGTCGTCGATGATCAGTACGCACCTCCGCCGCGCGGAGCCCCGCATCGGCCAAGTGCTCCGCGGTCCTCGGTGGCGTCGCCATATCGAGCCCGTTTTTTTTTATTTTACTCGCTCTTGTTTACAAGTTGGTCCAAGTGTCCGTTGCTCGGTCGCCAGTGGCAACGGGGTCTAAATCCACTGCCGTGATTCGCTGTTCGTCGCGCGCGAGGCGGCCGCTTGATGGCGCTGCGGCGCTTCTGATCCGGAGGGGCTGTTATTGGGGAATGCGTCGCAAAATAAGGCATTTCATTCCACTCCCCGTCGCTCCATCTCATTAAGTTTTACTTCTCTGTGTATTTCTTCTCTCGCTGCATTTTAGTCGCTTCCATACTATTTAAAATGTTGCTTTATTGAATTGCTCTTTCTTCTCAACTTGTTTATCAACTCATGCTACTTTGTGCGGTTAAGGCTTTGTCGAGCTCGGTGTGGTTAACGGGACTCGAACCTGCAGACATTTGGGATTAAGTTTCTCCCCCGCGGCCTTTATGACACCGTTAACTCCCAGCGCGTCTCCGTTTACTGACTTCACTGCTTGCACCCTTATTCCCCCCAGCCCCCCCAGGCCCTGAGTGGGAACCCACTGGCTCTCGGGTCAGATCGGACCTGCGTGTCATTATGCAGATTCCAGGGCCCGGTGGGGGGAGGAGTGTGTGTGTGGGGGGGGGGGCGTTATCCGCAGGGCCGCGGGGGGAGCGGCCGTGCCGGCCTTTGTCCACGCCCCCTTTTCATCAACTAGCGGCCCAAGAAAGACGGGCAGAAGAAAGCGGCAGCATCCCGGCCCCCCAGTGCCTGCAGCTCCTCCATCTGCACAGCGGAGCTGGACGGACCAGCCACAATGTGGAGAGCACCGCTACTTCAGCTCTTTCTCGCCTTCGTGTGCTGTGTTGGATGGAGCCGTTCTGAAGGTAAGAAGTTGCATTCTTGTTTTGTTTCTTGCCCCCCTTTTTTTTCCGTCTGTCCCCAACAGGCTGTCAGCTGAATGATTTATTGAGGACCTGCAGAGCTGTTTGTGCTGATAGTGAATCACTCAGTGCACTTGTTGCTCATCAAAATAAACCAGCCACAGGGAAGTTGAATTGTTCCTGGTTTTAAATGCTTCTGTATTTATTCATCGACAAAGTAACCATCCAATTTAGAAACAATCTTAAGGTTGATGACGAGAAAACCCTTGATGGTGGTTCAAAAAGGCGTTGTTATAATAAAACTACACGATTATCTCCAGTCATTCTGACGTGGCTACGAGGTGATGTTGTTCTGGCTGGAGGGCTAAACGTTTTGCCACATAGTATTACTTGTAACGGTTGAGCACAAAGCCTCCCTCAGACAGATTGGAAGTTCTCCTGAGGAACTTTTGCCTGAGCTGTGCTGTTGCTAGGTAACAGAAAAGAGCATGTGACTTACAGACGATCTGTGAGGACTGAAAGCCGCCGGTGCAAATCTCATTCAGAGCAGCACATTTTACGTCGCAAAACCACTGATTTGAATTCAATTCCATCTTGAGGAAGAAACCTTGTTTTCTCAGGTTAGACGTAGACGGGCAAAGCGCTGGAGTTGTGCTCTTTATACATGACGGCCTTGTGTTTGTCTCTTGTGTTGCAGCTCTGCTAGATCCTACGTCTCAAATCGTAATCTGCTTTCTTTTTGCTCAACCCTTAGTATGTAAGCTCCTTAGAGTGAATCAAGCAACTAATTACACTGCAGCTGCTGCAGAATGGAACCAGTTAAGTAAAAACCGTACAAAGAGGAAGGTCATGGTTGTGAGCTTTCTGTGTCAATTTTCGTCCTAGATGTATTTCCTCACTAGCTAAAAGACTAAAATAAAACCCAAAAGGCAGTCCGTGTATGCCAAAAGACAACACTGAACGTTTAAGAAATTAAAATACCTTTGAATCACAGTAGTTGCACTGGGCCCACTTGTAGCTGACCTTTGCTGGTGACAAATCATGTGTATAAAATGATGACAGGACTAAAAGTCCCAGGAGACTTTGTCAGCATGTTCATGGTGATCATAAGCCGGGATTCGATGATTAGCTGACAGAGATGTTTTAATACAATTCCCCAAAAATGAATGATCTTTGACCTGAATTCTACTTAATATCTATTCCGAGTGCTTCGCGGAGGTACGAATCAGACCGGTAGATGTGCCACTTTATTTGTGCTGTTTTAACACCAGAGAACAGGATACTTTCTCTCATCTCTGCTTCATCCTCCACAACAATCCTTTAGTGTGATAATTGCTTCTGAATGACCTTGTGTAACACATTATCCAGCTGATGGGGCTTGATGTTCTGTTGCAGAATGCTTACACCGGCATTAATAGCTAATGTGACAGTGGATTTCACAACCGGTTTGTTAACCATCCTGGTGGTCATTTTTGCTGCTCTAGACATATCTGTGACTAAATGAAGTTGTTTACTTCAGTAATCATTTGCTGGGGTAATCTGAATAACATATTAACTGCACAGTAAGAACTTTGGTTGTGTTAAAAATTAAGTTTTAATTTATATCACTATCAAAAGCAGACATGTTTGTCCTGCTTGTATTTTGGTCAGGTGTGGGGTTTGGTCAGTATTTCCTTTTAAATCACATCTATCTTTAGTTTAAGTCTGTAATAGCTATTGTGTCCAAACTATTCCAAAGTCACAAACTTGGCCGGCACATGCAAGTTAAACCTCACGCTCCTTTCTGGTAAAAGAGGCTAAATCCTGGTGCAACGCTTAGAAGCAGGAACACAGTTGGCACGTATGGAGGGCGAACCCTTTCTCTCCCTGCGGCGTTCACAGTCCACGTTACAGACGCGCCGATGGTGGAGTTCGGCCTAAAAGCAAGTTGTCCAAGAGGCCGTGTCATTGTGTGGTGACAACTCAATTTATGATTCTTTTCACTCACGCTCTTGTTAAGGCACGTACCAAAAAAATCATGTTGAGTATTCCTTCCATTCTAAGCAGGCCGAGGCTTTATTCCACAGTCTATTTATTCCTCCCTTCTGCTCCCGCTGCCCGGGCCCCTCCGTTTTTCACTGTTTTGTGTGCAGCAGTAAGAGCCGAAGTCACTTGTTTGGCAATTGACTGCATTCTGCTGCATTGATTTCCATATGAAACAGGCAGCAGCACTCCGCTCTGACAGCATGGATGGCTCTGGCGTTTCATGCCGCCAGCGGACGTTTTTCTCCACTCTTTTTTTCTCCAAACGCATTCAGCGAGTGTGGAGCGCCGCGCCAAAACAAGACGGCATGAAAGCTTTCAGGCGCCCCACGTGACAAGAAAGAGACGTCTCAGCGGTGGTGAACAGGTGTTATCTTAATGGGTGGCCGTGGAAAGGGGAGCTTATGTTCCACTTTTGTTTTACCTTATCGCAGGAAGTAAGTTCTAGTGTACTCTCCTCTCTGCTGAGTGTTTTTTTTTTAGGGTGACACTTCCAGTTATGAGTTTGCATCCCTGCCGGCACCTCTTTTGTACTATTGTAAGTTCACAGTGGGGTTTAAGGCCTATGAAGGACTTCATTCTAATGAAAATTCCTCCACCACTCTTCTTTGTTGGGCAATAGTAGGGCGTCCTTATCTTCCTGGATGGATAGTGCGGTGCTCTCTCCTGCTGTGGGTTTAAGTTGCTAATTAGGAAAGACAAGTCTAGAAAGAAGGAAAAGGAAAACATTAAATCACATGAAAACACTTGAACAATGATAAAAAGCACCGCTTCGGATTAAACCCTCTTAACGGCGAATTTGCCCTGTTTAGCTCGGCTTTTACCTTCTTGAACAATGGTTCGAAACTGGGAAATTGCGACTTTATCTGAATGACAAAAATTTGAGGATTAAGGAACAGTTACAAAGAAGACGTTCTTTCTCAGACTGTAAGAAGAAGCCTCGCGCGAAATAGTGCCGTTGAAAGGTTCAGCCTCAGTGTATCTGTCACCTTTCCCAGAAGTGATACTGTCAGGAAACACTGGGTGCATTTGAGAGCGTCCAGCAGATTGGTTTCTCCTCGACATACGTGGTTTTAAGTTATCAACAACGGTCTGACTACATAACCGTCTTGATCCGATCCCGACCCCATTAAGACGTGTCTATTCCATTCATTTGTTGAGCTAATTAATTCATTAAATGAAATTTAATAAACCGTGTGCACCTGCACAAAGAATAGCGTTGTCCGGACAGACAAGAATTTAATGTATTGTCATTGTTGAGTGAAATATTGTGGCTTTTGATTAAATAGTTTAGCATCTCTGAGCAGTTTGCAATCCTGCTGCCGTGCTATAGATGATGCTAAAATATCCGGGATCACTGCCTCACAACAAAGGCTCCCTTTGAGAAGATTGTGAGCAATTTTATCATTAGTAAACTGAGCAGGAAAAAAAGGAAGGAGTTAAACATGCTGGGTTGGTTGCGGTGTTTTGCTGGCTAATTAATGTTGGACGAATTCCTGATTGGAGCCGTAATCCAGTGTATTAAAAGACATTGGCGTGTCTTTTAATAAAGACACTGAAGCCCCAACTGTTGTGGAAGTGATACAAACACAAAGAACATGATAAACCTCCTCAGCCTATAGGTTGCAGGTTTGTAGGTAATACATTTTTGGAACTTTAACACATTATATATTGTATTTAGTGATACATTTTTTGTCACTACATTTGTTTGTAATTCCTAAACTATATTAGCTTAAAGCTGTGATAGTGGAGCAGTTGCGTAACAGCTGAAGGTGCACTGCAAGATTTTGTGTAACTTAACCCCAATATCCTGTGTTTAGGAAGCTTTTTAGTTCAGAAGAAAGAGTTTTTTCCAGAATGCTGGATAAGGCAGAACAGAGCCAGACCACCAACCCCAATGCGAGCACCACCAATCACCACCTCAGAGCTCTTCTCGCAAAGAATTTGGGTTGAAATGGTTACTGTACCACCCAGTACCACTATTTACCCCAATTACATGTCAGACTGGACAGGAACCGCGCGCACCATAAATCACGCTGTCAGAGAGACAATCAGAATTGCACGGCTCTGATGGAGTGCTCTGCCAGTGAACTATGCCGGCGGAATCTCTCTCTTTCTGGGAAACGTCAGGGAAGGTGGAGCGGTGGTACCTTATCTCTACAGATGCCACTCAGGGGGAACATCAAAAGGAGGCTCGGGATGAGTGCGGAGAAGGTTGTGCAGATGTCAGGGGGACGGCTGGCACGCTCGTCTCCAAGGCTTGTCAATGATGTTAACAACGTGCTTCATCAGGGGAGGGCGTCCTCCTCCCCCTCACGCCTGGTTAAAAAAACATAAATAAGTGTGGAATGTGGTTAAGAATTTATCAATTATTGTTTTCATCATTCTGTTTAAAAGGTTCTTTTTGCGTCCCAACAACCAAAGATATGCAGAATGACACTTTTTTGGATGTAGTTGAATATGAATAATAACATTGATAGTAATAATAAAAACACTGTAATCAACGGTAGAATTGGAAAAAAACAATGATGGATACCCGGATTTATTATTGCAGCTAAGAAAAATCTCATTTAGTAATGTAGAATTTTGACTGTGTTCAGGATGTGAGTTGGGGCAGTTCCGCTGTGCGACAGGTCGATGTATACCAGGCAACTGGCACTGCGATGGCACGTCCGACTGTGTGGACGACTCTGATGAACACGACTGCCGTGAGTTTCTCATTTTATTGCGCTGTGGGTCAACATGGCACCTGAGTGATATTTATTGTAGTGCTCCTTGGATATGTCGTTCCAAACTAATGCAATGGTGGAAGGCTCACTCAGGCCTCTTTTGTTATTTTAAAAGTGAATGCTCTTTAATTTAACCTATAATAGTGCATCCATCATATTTTACAAGTTGATTTTATGTTTTGTGTAAAATGTAAAGCTGTGAGGTAAAAGGGAAGGTTTAGTCCTGTAAAATTAAATATCAAATGGCACAAGATGTCTGCATACACTTAGTGTAGCAGAAGGATATACTAGCATGAAAATACATAGGCTTTCCAGTGCTGGATTACAGTCACCTGTAAATGAACTGCTCTGTGTGTATCCCCACAGCTCAGGTAACATGTGATCACAGCCACTTTGAATGTTTGAGTGACGGCGAGTGTATTCCCGTTGTGTGGGTGTGTGATGACGAGGAGGACTGTGAGGATGGCTCAGACGAGAGGCACCACTGCAGTAAGTACCATTGATTACATGTACACATATTTTTAGCAAAGGGTCCGTGGAAGTCAGCGAATTAGACTCCTGTTAGGAACCGTTATTTACAGTACAAGGAGACACAAGTTTAAGTGCATATACAAACATATATGTGAGTAAAACCCCTCTATGTCCCTCTCCAATCCGCCCCCAGCTGGAAGGACGTGCACCAGTGGGCAGTTCAGCTGTAGTAACGGGGCGTGCGTCCCTGGAGAATACTGGTGTGACCGTCTGGCAGACTGCTCGGACGGCTCCGATGAGAGAGACTGCCGTAAGTCTGTCTTCCGCCGGGTGGTTTCCCTTTTTTTTGTCTGTGTGTTTCAGGCCGCTGTGGCATTTTAATCAATTTGTAAAGATTAAGAGGCTCGCTGACTGACTGAACGGGCCACAATATGCTTCTTGTTGTCAGAGGTTGATTGCAGATTCCTCGGTGGATTAGTCAAGCTGAAGTTCAGCCGCTATGCTATTATTGTGCCGACATGGTAAACTCACAGCACTGCGCGCTGTGCTAATCTCACAATGGCATAAAGAATGCTGTGGCGACTGCTGTTGTTATGGTGAAGGCGTGACATTTTCAGCTCTTATCCGTTCCATTCACCGGACTTTTCACGTTTTAAAAGCTAAAATCGAGTTCTAAGGGTAATTTAACCTGATGATGATTTCATCTTTCAGATTACCCCGAGTGTACACAGCTGAGGTGTGCCAATGGGGCCTGCTACAACCGGACCCAGAAATGTGACCAGATACTGGACTGCCGCGATGGCTCTGATGAGGCAAATTGCAGTAAGAAGCCTAATTGTTTTGGTTTTTATGATAAACTGTCCACTTGTAAGCCATTGTCTGGCAAAAAAGAAAGTAATAGCATCCAGAGCATTACATCATCACTAACTAGATACTTTTGTCTTTTTCTGTTTTCTCTAGCACAGCGCTGCAACACGGGTCTGTTCGCTTGTCACAACGGGCTGTGTATTCCTCAACGCTACGTCTGTGACCATGACGATGACTGCGGGGACCGAAGCGATGAGCTGAACTGCAGTATGTAGCCTCTGTCTTTGCACCATCTCTTCTTTTTTAATCAAACCTCCCAGTGCGTCATAACTCTTACGGATAGCCGCCTCTGACCTTTTCACCGCATTGATATCCTCCACTTCCCCGGCAGCATATCCCACATGTAGAGGGAACTACTTTACCTGCCCTACTGGCCGCTGTATACACCAAATCTGGGTTTGCGATGGAGAGGATGACTGTGAGGACAATGCAGATGAAAAAGGCTGCGGTAGGTATTTAAGCAGTTGTCATGAATCACGGTAATTGTTGCTGCATGGACCAGAAACATTGATGTTTGCAGGAACACAAAAATGGAAAGCAACTCGCGCTCTTTGTGTGTACCTGATTCATTCCAGTCGGCGTGGTTTGTTGGGGCAAGCGAGACGCTATGTCTGTGCTCCTTTAAGTGTGTTATTCAAATGCCTCTTTGAGGCACAAGATCACGCAGCCCCCCCAAAGGGCTTTGGAATTCCTCCACATGGGAAGAGTGTGTGTTTTTAGAGGATGGGCTGCAGAAGCCCTCTGAGCCCCCCCATGTGACCCCCTCAAAGCTCCACTCGCCTGTGTCCATTTAAAGTGACAGTCATTTTCCTGAAAATAATCTCCTAGTCGCAATTTTTCTTTAGATCAGCAGCAGATACTTTTCCCCCTGAAACTCTCTGCTGTTGTGTTTCCCCTTTTTCTATGTGTAATCTTGCACGGAATTGTATTTTCTGCAGATAATGTACCGCGGGAGTGTTACCCAGGTGAATGGCCCTGTCCGTCCTCCGGCCTGTGCATACCCATCGATCAGTTGTGTGACGGAACGGCTCACTGCTCCGAGGGAGAGGACGAAAGTAACACCACTGTCGGCCGCAACTGTGGTTAGTACCAACACAACTTGTGTCAGGTTCACAAAAGCACATCTAATGTGGAAGAAACTTTTGCGATTCAAGTATAATCATTCATGGTTCCCGAGTGCAGGTATCTGGAGATGTGCCTCTCTGAGCTGTGAGCATCGCTGCCATGCTTCCCCTGATGGAGGGACCTGCTCTTGTCCTCCTGGATTCATTGTGAGCAGCAACGACAGTCGCTCATGTATAGGTATTTATCATTGACTGCCTTCACTTTGTGCTGTGGAAAAAGGATAATAAAGTCCAGCTGACCCACACCTCGTTGCAGCCCAGTCTCACATCTGTTAGTGCAATTGACTCATTGGCGAAACGTATCCGTGTTTAACTGTCATCTGCTGTGGTTCTGATCTTCATCCCAAAGACTTTGACGACTGTTCGATGTGGGGCGTGTGTGACCAGCTGTGTGAGGATCGCACGGGCTCCCACCGCTGCAGCTGTCGAGAGGGCTACACCCTGGAGCAGCACAGGCACTGCCGGGCCGACGTCTCGAGTGAGTGTCATTTCCTCTCTGTTTGAACAGATCCGCCTATCTGTACCCTCAGATGTTAGATGTGTGAATGATCCAACTAAATTAGCTGTGCCCCCCCCCCCCCTTTCCTGCTGGCCGACCACTGCGGCCGCTCCACTGAGTGTCTGCGCGTCTTTCTGGTGCATTGTTGCGTAGCAGAAGCTGTTTTAGTTACTCTCTTGCCTTTGTGGAACATAGAAAGAGTGTTGACTCAGTGCCTGACCTCTGTGCCTTTTTAGCTTTAGTGAAATGAGTGTAGAGGAACAGAAGCCAGGAAGTACTCTGACTTCATTGATCTTAGTCAGGAGTTTGATATAATGCGCTACGGTTCTCTAAATATCCACTGATATTTTACCAAAACTGAGTTGCTCAAAGACAAATCAGGCTCTGCTTGCTAACTTGTAATGTTCAAATGACTTCTTTATGTTTTCTAACATGGTGCATTTTGTCACTTGTTGTACTGCAGCTGGAGTCCCTTCCTTGCTATTTTCCAATGGCCGAGACCTGCTGATAGGTGACATTCATGGCAACAGTCAGCGCACCTTGGTTCCTTCACAGAACAGAGGGATTGCAGTGGGGGTGGACTTCCATTATAATCTAAATAGGATATTCTGGACTGATACCATTCAGAATAAGGTATTTTTTAAATATGATATCCATATTAATGTCATATGTTCTTATTAACTGCAGTGTGTTTCTCAGAGCATTACATAGATGAATATTGTTAGAGATCACCGGACTAGACCAGGTTTTGTTTGAGGAAATACTTGAGATAGACTTGAGCTGCAGAATGAAATTCTTTCAGTTATCCTATAAAATATCAGCAATGTTGATACTATAATAATGGGATAGCTGTTGGCTCCGTTGCGGCTGGGTTATAATGAAGGGAAGCAGTGGAATGGAATCCAAAAGGCCTAATCTTGAAACCTGTCCGATTGGCCGGTATGATGCTCACATACCACGGTGCAATTTTTGTAACTCGATCTTGTTAGAAGTGATCATGCTGTATTTTCTTTCAGTGGCACTGTAAAAAGTCTGTGCTTTGGCTCCTTAATGGTTTGAACTGAAGCCACCGTCCTGAAATGCTGGGACACATCTCTGACTGGGCATCTGTGCATATCACCCGCCTCCATGGCAGCATGTCAAACTAAAAGTAGGGAGAGCACAAACAGGGCATGTGAATGCAACCGGAAAGGTTAAACTATCAGGCTATTTCCACATCTTCAGTTTCTCTTTAAACAGGTCAGTAGGAAACCCTGCTTTTTAGATGTATGGATCTGGTTTCAAAAGAGGCAGAGCTGCTAAGAGAAACAACACCCCCAACCAGCTGCATGGTGCCAAGGTTTCCACTGCGAGAACCGAGTGCCATCGCAGTATTGGTAGAGTGGCAGGTTCAGAAAATCAAGTTACAGGCTTCTCAGACATGTAAAAAGACTCGTCAGAGAGGCAAACAAATAATCTGTCTCGCTTAACATTCATGCCTGAGACAGTTAATATAATACTCACATTGCCAAATGTTTGCTGAAATAGTTTATTTTGGCTGTAACTGCACCTGTTTGTACGTTGTTGCTTTTGAAGAATGCACACTTGATTTTGTCTGAGTTGGACGACTAAAACCTGAAAAGCAACATTTGGAAGTCAATATTATTCACAACAAGGAATGGGGATTCCTTTAAATTGTAAACATATGAGTAGAGAAGGACGGTTTTCTCCCTATTTCTCTGTTACGAGCTTCTGCTCGCTCTGTCGAGTTTTATGATAATAACATTTTCAACATACCACAAAAATGTGAACTTACCTTTTAATTTCTTCCCTTGACCTCTTGAAGCAGCGACCACCTGCGAGCTCATTTCATTCAACAATGCTGTCTTTTGTGTACAGGTGTTTTCTGTGGACATGGACGGTTCCAATATGCAGGTGGTTTTAAACGTCTCAGTTGACTACCCTGAGAATTTGGCGGTGGATTGGGTGAACAATAAACTGTATGTGGTGGAGACCAGCGTCAACAGGATCGACTTGGTTGACTTTGATGGAAGTAACCGGGTCACACTCATCACCGAAAACCTCGGAAACCCTAGAGGACTGGCGCTGGACCCCACCGTCGGGTAAGCACATCTCCCAGTTTCTATCCATTTATCTATCAACCCCTTCCCAAACCCCACATACAGTATCTGCTGCGCTCCATTGGCGTGGAATAATGGGGTGTGTGTATGGGATTAGCAGATTGCCCTGGGTGGATTAGTGAGGAGCAATGTTAGTGATGACCCTCATTGTAATCCAATAGTGTAGCTCAAGGGGGGAGGAGAGCCAGGTGGCTACAGATAAATTGCTTATCGTAAATTCTTGTCCAGCTCTTTGGGGCGACGCACAGCCACACACCTGGAGACATAAAGTGAGACTGGACTTAATTGAAAAGAGAAAAGTCTCGCGGTCCTCCTACGATGCTCCCACCGCAGAGAAAACTGACATACTTATTTAACCTCTCTTCCCAGGTATATGTTCTTCTCAGATTGGGAGGCATTGAACGGACAACCAGGACTGGAGCGCGCCTTTATGGACGGCAGCAACCGTTACGGGATCATTGGGACTAAACTGGGTTGGCCAGCTGGAATCACACTAGACATTGAAGCCAAGCGCATCTATTGGGTTGACAGTCGCTATGACTACATTGAAACTGCAACATATGATGGTCTTCACAGGTGAATATGCCACGTGTTATTCATCCAAAATAGCACAGCATTCATCATTTCAACACCAAAGCAAAAGCAAGAGTCCAGGGGTTCTGTAGGGTAGACCAGGTAGAAAGGTTTGTGCATTTATATTCTAATAGATCAATGTTGTCAACATGTTTTCAATAGAAAAACAGTGGTCCACGGAGGTGCTGTGATCCCACACCCATTTGGCATCAGTCTGTTTGAGCACAACGTCTATTTCACGGACTGGACCAAGATGGCCGTGATGAAAGCCAACAAGTTCACTGACAGCAGTCCTCAAGTTGTGTACAGCACCTCGCAGGCTCCACATGGAGTTGCAGTGATACATCAGTTGAAACAGCCTAATGGTGAGCCCCTCAATGACACACATGTGTCTTCTTCAGCGGCATCCACAATCACAATCGGTGTGTCATGTGACCTGGCCAGCTGAAGGAAATTTATTCGCTTACTTTTTTCTTTCCAGTTCCAAACCCTTGTAGTGTAGACACAGGGGGATGTGAGCAGATCTGTGTTCTGAGTCACAGGAGTGACAACGGAGGACTGGGGTACCGCTGCAAATGTCGCATGGGCTACGACCTGCATGCTGATGGCAAGAGATGTTTCGGTAAGAGAACGTTTTTTTTTTTCTCATGAATGCAAAAACCGGATCTCAGTATGTTTCCTTTCAACTGTAAAGTCACACCTAACAACCTAAAGATTTGATAGCTCAATTAATCAATCAAAACTCACATGTAAGGCTACCCAGAGTTGTGTACATTTCATTTTACCCTTTCTTTTGTATTACAGTGTTTTTGAGAGGTTGAACCTCTTCATCTTGTTTCATGTGGTCTTCTGATTTCCTTTGTTCAGCTGTGAGGCAGTTCCTGCTGTTCTCCAGCCAGCTGGCCGTGAGAGGGATCCCCTTTAACCTGTCATCTCAGGAGGACATCATGCTACCCGTTACCGGATCCCCTTCCTACTTTGTCGGGGTGGATTATAGTGCTGAAGAAGATGCCATCTTCTTCTCTGACACAGCCAAAGATATTATATACAAACAAAAAGTGGATGGGACTGGTGAGCACCTTCTCTCGCTGAATTGTTTTGCAATAAACCTGGAAATATTCACAGCATAGAAAGAATAACTCAAAGAACAGCATGGTCTTGTTTGAAAGCTATCCACCGCTAGCAAGTTTTCAGGGTTTTCTCTGTGCTTAAATCATTGGAGAATTTCTGTCCTTGCAGAGATCTCTACCATGTGATTCAGCCAGGCTTATACAGGGAGTTAAGGGAGTGGCTGATGGGGCCGGCTGGTACTATGGGGGAGGGAGCGGACGGGAGTACGGACAGTGGAAAATGTATCATAAAATCAACTTACATCTGAAACTAATGACCTCAAAATGAGTAGGACAGACTAATCAAGAATGTTCTGCTCAGCAGTTTTGATACTTTCTTTCAAAACTGTCACATGTGGGAAATAATGTCCACACAAAAAACAAAAAAAGAAACACCACTGCTCTGATCGGCGATGTTGTTTTTGGAGCTGCTCTCGTTTTTTCTGTCCGGTCCGCATGGGGAAACTGCAAGCCGACAGCCTATTTACTTAGATGTGTTCCTCTTTCACCTCGGTGTTAAACGTCGGTGTGACTGCTTTGATGTGCACAGGCAGGGAGGTGCTGGCAGCCAACAGAGTGGACGGAGTGGAGGACCTGGCTTACGACTGGATTTCCCAAAACCTCTACTGGACTGATCCGCGATACAGGAGCATATCTGTAATGAAGCTCGCTGATAAGTCCAGGAGAGCCATCGTACAAAACCTCAACAATCCCCGGGCCATCGTGGTGCACCCTCCCATTGGGTAAATCCATATAATCATAACCTTAGATTTAATAGTATTTTTGCTAATAAGCAAATATTGGCATTTACTTTGTAGGAGTCAAACTATACATTAGGAAGAGGGAATTTTTTGCAAAAACAACCATATGTGTCTGGTCACTCACCTATACACACTCATTTGAAATGCACTCGAATGAGGCCACCCACCCACCCACCAGATAAAAGAAATACTATTGAATGCAGTTATTTCCAATAGCTTGGAAGTCATTAGGCCTCTATGTGGGACGGCTCAGTTTAATTGAGCGTGAAGGGCAGTATTGAACCAAACACTTAAATTATTGGCTTGAACAGCAAAGCTTAATAAAGCAGTATTCCAAGCCCAATTTAAATAAATAAGTAGTTGTGGATGCCTTAAAGTATTAAAAGCAGGTATTTTTTTTTAACAAAATGTAACATTGATGCTTGCTCTTTTACATTTTTTTATTTATTTAATACAGGTATATTTTTTGGACTGACTGGTACCGGCCGGCGAAGATTATGAGGGCTTGGGGTGACGGGTCACATGCTCTGTCTATTGTAAACACTACTCTTGGCTGGCCAAATGGCCTCGCTATTGACTGGAGGTGAGTAAAACGCCCTACAGCCATGCAGCTAAAACAGTTGTGCGATACACAATTTCCCCTTGACATTGTTGTCATTGTTTGGTTGTTTTACCAAGTGAATCGTGGTAGCGATGTTTCTTTCGGATTACTTCCCTTACAGCATTGTTGACTCATTTTAAACCCTCACCCTTGTAATTTAATCTCCACCCAGCTCAATGCGTCTGTATTGGGTGGATGCCTTCTTCGACAAAATTGAGCACAGCAATTTCGATGGACGGAACCGGCTTTCTTTGGGTCGCATAACCCAAATCTCCCACCCGTTTGGTCTTACCATTTTCGAAGGTAATAAGTCCTGCCTTATCTCAGTGGCATTGACTTGAACTGTGGTTAACCGTTCTTGCTTTAATGAGGCTCATGTCAGAAAAGCAATTACTGTTAGCAGGAGGTGATGAAAGATAAACTAACTGAGGTTTTGCTCTGTTGCTCCTCTTCTTCGAAGGCTATGCATATTTCACCGACTGGCGCCTGGGTGGCATTGTGCGTGTGCGCAAGACGGACGGCGGGGAAATGGTCATTATCAGAAGAGGAATCAGCCACATCATGCATGTCAAGTCTTTCGATTCCAACTCTCAGATCGGTCAGTAGCTTTATTCCCTGCTCTGTAACCGAGGGTCACGCTCGCCAGTCACACATGTCCCTGGTAATTACACTCTGCTCTTCTTCCCAGGTTCCAACCTCTGCAGGAGGCAGACGAATCCCAATGGCGACTGCAGCCACTTCTGCTTCCCGGCCCCGGACTCACAGAGGGTGTGTGGCTGTCCGTACGGCATGAAGCTGTTGCCCAACCAGCAGACGTGCGTGGAAGACTCGTCCAACGAGCCCCCGACACTGCAGTGCGGAGCCAATTCCTTCTCCTGCGGCAACAGCAAATGCGTCCCAAGCAGCTACAGATGCGACGGTGTTGACGACTGCCATGACAACAGTGACGAAGTCGACTGTGGAATTAACAGTAATGCTTTTTTTTGCTGACCAGAGAACATTTTTGCTTCATCGTTATCTAGTTTTGCTCAGTCGAATGTTTCTATAATTCAATCAGGATCACCATTTCTCGTTTCAGACACAACTTGCTCCCCCTCTGCATTTACGTGTGCCAACAAGCACTGCGTGCCTACAGGGTGGCGCTGCGACGGGCAAAACGACTGTTTCGATAACAGCGATGAGCACAACTGCCCTACAGCGATTCCCGGAACGTGCCCTGCCAATCAGTTTACTTGTGCCAACCACCGCTGCATCCCACAAACCTGGCGTTGCGACACCGATAATGACTGCGGGGACAGTTCAGATGAAGCGGACTGCCGTGAGTGCCCCTATACACAGTGGTCTGCCCTTTGGAAATAGTTAGAATTAGAATTAGAATCAACATTGCAAGGAAATATGACAACAATGAGAACAATGCACAGATTTGAAAGAAAAGGTTAATTATAAAAACTCTGCGGTCAATTGGGTTGCAAAGTACAGTGTCCACAAATACACAATGACTCTGCCCGTACACACGTTTGGTTCTTAAGACATAACATAAGACAACAAAAGACCTGTACGGTATGTTGTGCTTTGATTAAGAAAAACTCACAAGACTCATTTTGTTTCATTTGCGTCGACAGATCTGAGAGGCACATGCAATCCGGGACAGTTTCAGTGTCCTGACCACCGTTGTATAGATCCCAACTATGTCTGTGACGGGGACAGGGACTGTGTGGACGGGGCGGACGAGCAGGGATGCAGTGAGTACCTTGCTGGAGTGCAGTTTTCCCAAAACCTACTTATAGTTGCTCCTTTGGTCCTTACTCATGAAAGATCTTTGAAGATGTTTTTTCAAGTGTGTATTCATAAAACTAATGGAAGAAGTCGTTGATCAGAGCTATTTTAGTCTGGTCTCATGACTATTTAGTACCTAATTGTACACTTGCTTCAACCCAGCCTCTTACTTTGACATTCCTATGAATTGGAAATTCTTCTGGCGCTCCCCATTAAAGAATGAGTTCATTTGTTCAGTCATTCATTCAGCAACGCCGTGTCTGCACGGGCTAAACGTGCTCGATAAGTTGTAGGGGTCAATTGAATGGTCTGTAAGATCCAACCAGCATTTGCTAAGCCTCTTAATGTATTGATCTCATTACTTGAGTTGCACAACGATGGAGCTCAGCATACATACAAATGCTGAATACCAGGTGTAACATACTCAACTGCATTCTTTCAGTTTACAACTGCACCGGGAATGAATTCAAGTGCTCCAGCGGTCACCAGTGTATCAACTCCTACTACCGCTGTGACGGAGTCTTTGATTGCAGTGATCGCTCAGACGAGCAGCGCTGTCGTAAGTATTAATAAAGTGCCTTTGGTTAAATTACTGAACCATCACTCAGTCCTGCACAATAATGTGAAAGGTCGTTAACATGGGTAACTCTTCTCACATTTTGGACTGTTCTGTCGTGGTGTTTTTGCTGTTTCCTACTAAATCTCAGCTACAAGGCCCCCTGGGATGTGCCACCATGAAAGCGAGTTCCAGTGTCAGTCAGACGGGAGCTGTGTACCGTCCACCTGGGAGTGTGACGGTCACCCGGACTGCGAGGACGGCAGCGACGAACACCACGCCTGTCCGCCTCGCACCTGTCCCTCCTCGCTCTTCCGCTGTGACAATGGGAACTGTGTGCTGCGCAGCTGGCTTTGTGATGGGGACAACGACTGCAGGGACGGGAGCGATGAAAGGGACTGTCCCACGCCGCCGTTTCGATGCCCGAGCATGCAGTGGCAGTGTCCGGGCCACAGCCTGTGCATCAATCTCACCACAGTTTGTGACAACACTCCTGACTGCCCCAATGGTGCCGACGAGTCTCCTCTCTGCAGTAAGTCGGCTCTATGCTTTCTTCAGACACCCTGTAACATGTTCTTTGTCTTTCAGAAGTACTGGATTGTTTTATGAAGTTTTTTTCGCATCCAAAAATTCAATTTAATTGTCACATGACCAAACAGGATCAAACTCTCCATTGATTTAGTGTAATTTTACAATTTCCACTGAAAACAATGTCTTAAATCTGTTTGTCTTTGGATTTGTGTGTTAAAATCATGCATGTGTGTGATTTCACCTGCATTAACCTGAAAATGATCTGTGATTTTCCTTTCTTGCCTTTTTCACCACTTTCAGACGAGCCTTTGCCAGGTAGGAAACAGACTCTTAATCATTGGTAGAAATGCTGGTAGAAAAATATATGTGATTCATTTTCAATAAGTCTCTTTATTACCTTCTCTTGTGTTCATAGATTTGTCTCACAACATAATGAAATTGTTTTTAGTAGAGTGTTTCTGGTGAATATAGAAATACTAGTAAACAAATATGCATTCAAAGCTGCGATGTTCGTTAATTACCATTGAAACGTGTATATTAATTGCATAACTTGGTATATTTATTACTTGTTTGTGTGAGTTATCATTTACATGGTCTGATATATACATTTTTTTAAAAACTCAGATCAGGAAAGCTGCTCTGACAACAACGCTGGCTGCACCCACGTTTGTATCCAAGGGCCGTTTGGGGCCCAGTGCTCCTGCCCCGTGGGTTATCAACTGAGCAATGACTCCAAAACCTGTGAGGATGTAGATGAGTGTTTTTCCCCGGGACTGTGCAGCCAGCACTGCTTCAATGAGAGGGGATCTTTCCGTTGCCACTGCCAGGAGGGTTATGCCCTCGAAGCCAACCAGCGTACCTGCAAGGTCTCAGGTGAGGAGGAATGTGGCGTAAACCTTCTGCACGTGGACCATGTGGCTGCAAATAACGACCTATAATTTCATAATGCAGTAAGCAGGTAACAGGACACAGCACATAACTCAGTTGTCTCCCGGCTGCCGTGCGGGAATGGGCTGTGATCTCGGGGGGGGGCGGCTCGTCCACCGGACTGCGAGACTGACACACCGCCTTTCTTCTCCCGTGTCTCTCCTTGCTGATCTGATTTCTTCAGATAAGACAAATAACATATATGTCACTCACTGGCCTACACAGGTGTAATTAGGACATAATCACCAACAATGGGCTGTTCATCGGGAGTGTGCCTGACATGAGCTCCTCTTCCAGACAGATAACCTGCTGAAAGACCTTTCAGTACAATAGGTCATTATTTGGACAACAGTGCATTCCCCTGGGATTGCCATTGGAGTAGGTTCTATCTAATAGGGCTGTCAGATAGGGTACCTGTAAAGAGTATAGGTGGTTTCATTAGCATGGTCATGGACATGAAAAATAAGTAACAGAGATTTGATGTCTGTTTACAGATTCTCGTCAGGCGTTCTTGTTGGTCGCCAGCCGAAATCAGATCGTGCAAGATGACATAACCGCTCAGCCCAACGTGGTCCGCTCACTGGTTCGGGACGGCCGCAACATTGTGGCCCTGGATTTTGACTCAGCCACTGACCGCGTGTACTGGTCCGACACGAGCCAGGACCGAATCTGGAGTGCGAACAAAAATGGCAGCGATAGAACTGTGGTGCGTTGTCTCTTTCCCGTTCCTCACCACAACGTTTAATTGTTTGACCAGTAAACATGTTTAGCTGAGAATGAGTGTCTTGTGGACAGGTATTTGACAGTGGAGTGACTGTAACAGAGAGCCTCGCTGTGGACTGGGTGGGCAGGAACCTCTACTGGACTGACTACGTCTTGGAGACTATTGAAGTGTCTAAACTGCAGGGAACCCACCGCACTGTTTTAGTCAGTGAAAATGTCACCAACCCCCGAGGCCTGGTGCTTGACCCGAGGGACGGGTCAGTCAGAAACAACTTTGTTTCAAATGTGTACGCCTTGGACGTTACGGTCACCTTTTCATTTGGTGCAGATGGTGTTAAAAGACTAGCGTTTGTTTTCGCAGTGCCCACCTGATGTTCTGGACCGACTGGGGGAGGAACCCCCGCATTGAGAGGGCCAGCATGGATGGGAAATTAAGGACTGTTATTATAAACGCCAAGCTGTACTGGCCCAACGGTCTAACCATAGACTACCCGAACAATATGCTCTACTTCGCTGATGCCTACTTGGATTTCATTGACTTCTGCGACTACGACGGCAACAACAGGAAGCAAGTCGTGGCCAGTGACCTGGTGAGTGTACGAGAAAGACACGTTTTCTGAACAGAGCAAATTCAATTTCCTTTTGAATAGCATGTAAAAGACGCACCTTTTTTTTTCTTTTGCTACTCTCTGTGAAAAGGTACTGCAACATCCCCACGCAATTACCATTTTTGAGGATTTTGTGTATTGGACCGACAGATACATCAACCGCGTGATGCGAGCCCATAAGTGGCACGGGGAGAACCAGACAGTGATGCTTTTCAACCTCCCTCAGCCCATGGGTCTGGTGGCAGTACACCCGGCCAGGCAGCCTGCGGGTAAGTCAAAGATATTTGATGTGCAGGAGTTGGTTTGGTAGTTCTCTATAATGCTGCCAATGTGCAGCAGATCCATTGTTTTTGCAATTACATTTCAGAATAATCAAAGATACACGGTGGAGATCCTTGTGCTGATTCTTTGTTTGGCGTGCGTGTGTGTGTGCATGTGTGGTTTGACAATTCTTAGGTGAAAATCACTGCTTGAGGAGTCCCTGTACTCATATCTGTCTGCTTTCTGCTGTGGGACCAAGTTACTACTCATGTGCCTGCCCCTCAGGCTGGACTCTGGCAGTGGACCAAATCACCTGCACCAGAGGTATGCGCCCTACCCAATGGAGGAAAACACTCATCACTCAGTTTGATGAAAAGGAAGTTGGGTCAGATGCAGTTGATAAGTTGATTTAATCATATGGTATTCATTTTAGCTCTGGTTATTGTTGTGCATAGCAAACCTTTTATTATGGAAGTGTTTTGGCATGCTTCATTTTCAGGATCTCAATATTGGTAAGAGGAGAAATCTTTGAAAAGACTATTTGTATTATAGATTGATCCAGGTCCTTGTCAACAGTCTTCCATTTAGATTACCTCGTAGACTGCTGTTCCACTCCTAAACAATATAAGCAATATAAGCATGTCTTTCAAGGTCTTAAGGAGACATGGGATCTTTAATTTAAAGTCCATGGAGCCCCCCTTAGGTCAACAGCTTAACTCATCTCAGGTTTCAGCCCATTCAAGCCAAGCAGAACACATTCTCCGTCCGAGACCAACAATTATCCAAGAATGAAAATGCCCCACAACCATTTGTCGATGTCGATGTAATCATTGATGACAAAGCAAATGTGATTGCATAGACAACTTTCACCAATCCATCCTCCTTATAGATCAGGGCCTATTAGCTCAGGATCCATATTTTTTTACCAGGTTTGTATAAGCGATTTGCATCTCTTAGTTTTGGATCACAAACACAGTTTCCTTTTTTTTTTTTTTTTTGTGCAACTTTTAAAAGACTACGAAGTGCCTTGATAAAAATTGACTCCATTTTCTTTTTGTTTTTACACGTAGTTGAGGATCCTTTCCTGGTGGTTGTGAGAGACAGCATCATCTATGGCATTTCCTTAAACCCAGATGAGAAGAGTAACGATGCCATGGTCCCGATTGCTGGGCTCCATAATGGCTACGATGTTGACTTTGACGACAATGAACAGACCCTCTACTGGGTGGAGCACCCGGTTAGTTAATGACCTGTCACACATCAGTTCAGAACTTACTTCACTTTCCAAAGTCAACTTTGAGAAATACATAATACATAATAATACGAAAACCAAAAAGGTGAATTGGTCTTCCTCTCTCCATCAGGGTGAGATCCACAGGGTGAAGTCAGATGGAACTAACAGGACAGAGTTTGCCCCCGCTGCCATCCTTGGCTCCCCTGTCGGCCTGGCCTTGGACTGGATGACAGAGAACCTGTACTACACTAATCCAGCTACACAGTCGATAGAGGTAAGACTAATTATTCTGTGTCAGCTTGTAGTTTTTTCCAGTCAACTGAGACAAATGTTTTCTTGTGATTGCACTTCTAATAAGAAAATCACGACACAGCGATGCTGTTCAATAATTGCACCTGTTTGTGTTTGGCCAGGTTTTGAAGTTGAGAGGGGAGGCGCAGTACAGGAAAACTCTCATCACTAACAACGGCTCTCCAACTGGTGCTGGCAGTCCCGTTGGCATCGCAGTGGACCCAGCACGTGGGTAAGCCCCATTTAACACCGTTCTGGCACGGCCACTCATCCCCAAAGCAACTGAGCTCCTACAGACCTCCTCGTCGTCATCTGCATTGCATCCAGAGAACTCCACCGAATGTTACTGAGTTAAACACTTGGAGATGAAAGATTTTCCAACAATTGATATCAATGAGCAAAAGTTTGTAAGTGGCCGAGACTCAAAACCTAATCTCCATTCTCGAATGTCTTCTAAGCAAACTGTACTGGACAGACCAGGGAACAGAGAGCGGCATCCCTGCCAAGGTGGCGTCTGCAGACATGGATGGCTTGAACCCTGTCACCTTGTTCACCAACAACCTCGATCACATTGAGTTTATCACCGTGGACATCCAAGAGAACAAGCTGTACTGGGCTGTCACAAGCACGGGCATGGTGGGTCTTCCCTCTGTTAACTCTCAACCCAATACATTATTTCATATGCACTTATGTTAATCTTGGTAATTGTTAAAAATGAACATGTCCACAGATTGAGCGTGGGGATACGGATGGGAGTAACCGCATCACCATAGTGACGGGCCTGTCTCACCCCTGGGGTGTTGCCGTCCATCAAAATTACCTCTACTTCACCGACCGCAATTTTGAGGTCATAGAGCGCGTGGACAAGTCCACGGGTGCCAACAGGGTTGTGCTGCGAGACAACGTTTCTGGACTCAGAGTTTTGAAAGTGCATTACCGAGAGAGTGAGTAGCACAAGGAGACGTCGTCATCCTCGTTCGCTGCTGTCAGGGTTTTTATTGATCCCGCTGTATTCTCTCCACAAATCTCAGCCTCTGCAGGCACATCCAATGGCTGCACAAACAATGTAGGAGCGTGTGAACAACTCTGCCTCCCTCGGACGCAGGGCCTGTTTACCTGCGCGTGTGCCACGGGATTCAAACTTAATGCTGACAACAGGACCTGCGCTCCTTACCAGTCCTATGTCGTCATCTCCACTCTGTCTGCCATCAAAGGCTTCAGTCTGGAAGGGACAGACCACTCTGAAGCCATGGTGCCTGTGGCTGGGAGAGGTCAGGGATCATTATAAACTATAGGATATAATATAGATATAAATATAAATTGTGTTTTGAAGTTTCAATAATGCCGTCTATTGACTAGATTCTCCTCCTGCAGGCCGTAATGCTTTGCACGTTGATGTGCACATGGCTTCTGGTTTCATCTACTGGTGTGACTTCAGCAGCACTGTGGCGGCACAAAACGGCGTCAGGCGGATCAAGCCAGATGGCTCGGGATTACATAGCGTAGTAACATCTGGAATAGGACGCAACGGGATCCGAGGCATTGCCGTGGACTGGGCTGCAGGTAGGCTGTCTTGTCAGCTCCCAAATTATTGTTTTGTTTAATTATGTAATATAAATTGTTATTAAATCAGTACACTTACATCTATTTTAGGATCTTTGTCACTTATTTATTCAGTGTCTCTCTAATTTTCACATCAATTCTATATTTTAATCTTTAGTGAAGTTATTTCCCAGCACTTTAAATAGAGGTAGACGAGGATCTCTGTCACTTGTTATCAAGGTTTTTGTTCTACTCGAAGTTAACCAACATCAAAGCTTTTTTTTCTTTTCGGCCCTTTAATAGTGGAATACACCTCTTATTTTTCACCATGAAAAATATATTAATTTTATATGAATATATACACAGCATCCTACTTAGTCGAGTTTGACTGATGACATTATGTTCTCAAGACTCAAGATGATGCTACTTTAAACACTGAGCTTACTTGTCTTTCCTCAGGCAATCTGTATTTCACCAACGCCTTCCTGACTGAGACGTACGTGGAGGTGCTCCGCCTGAACACCACTTTCCGCAGAGTACTGCTGAAGACCCAGGTGGACATGCCGCGCCACATCGTGGTCGACCCCAGAAACCGATACCTCTTCTGGGCCGATTATGGCCAGAACCCCAAAATTGAACGAGCACTCTTGGACGGCACCAACCGCACAATTTTAGTGTCATCGGGGATCATCACTCCCAGAGGTCTCGCTCTGGACTGGCAGACTGGCTACGTCTACTGGGTAGACGACTCCCTGGACATGATTGCCCGGGTCAACCCTCAAGGAGGCGAGACAGAGATCATCCGGTTTGGCAGTCGCTACCCAACTCCTTATGGAATCGCAGTGTTCGAGAGCAGCATCATCTGGGTGGACCGAAACCTCAAGAAGGTGTTCCAAGCGAGCAAACAGCCCGGCAGCGCAGAGCCGCCTGCCGTCATCAGAGACAACGTCAACATGCTGAGGGACGTGACGGTCTATGACCGGCGCGCCCAGCCCACCTCCTCCCAGGAGCTTAACCACAACCCCTGCACGGAGGTCAACGGAGGCTGCGCCCACTTCTGTTTCGCCCAGCCAGATGGCGGGAATAAAAAATGCAGCTGCGCTTTTGGTAACCTCGGAGCAGATGGCGAGAGCTGCGTGGTGTCGAGGGACGATTATCTCATCTACACAACGGAGAGCACCGTGCGCAGTCTGCGCCTGGACCCCGAGGACCACGCGCTGCCCTTCCCGGTAGTCAACGTGCCACGTACATCAGTGGCACTGGATTTTGACCTGACGGACCGGAGGATCTACTTCACGCAGAGCACAGCCGCAGGAGCAAGCAAGATCAGCTACATCAGCCTGTCCTCTCCCACCTCGGATCCTATCGTGGTGGCTTCCGGTAGGTTCTGCACTTCCACTTAAACCGTACAATTTTATTCACCAACGGCATTCCTGATGTTGCTTTGGTTTCCTGTTTTTGGGCAGATCTTGGGGCTCCTGATGGCATCGCTTATGACTGGATAAACAGAAGAATTTACTACAGTGACTATGTCAACCAGAGCATCAGCTCCATGTCTGTGGACGGCTCTCAAAGAACTATTATTGCCCACGTGTCCAGGCCGAGAGCCATCATGTTGGATCCCTGCAGGGGGTAAGACTGATAGAACAAACGCTCTCTTTGCTCATCGATTGGAACTGACATCTAAAAAAGAAATACGTTCTTGTTCTACAGATATATGTACTGGACAGACTGGGGAACTCATGCAAAGATTGAGCGTGCTACTTTAGGTGGAAACTTCAGAACAGAGATTGTGAACAGCAGTCTGGTGTGGCCCAACGGGCTGACCCTGGACTATGAAGAGGAGAAACTCTACTGGGCCGACGCCAGCTTGTAAGATCTGATCATTTTTATCGTTATTGTTGAAATAATTGAAGAAATAAATATGATTATCTTGTCAATCTACTGTTATTATCAATATTTTTGCTCTGCCACCAGACAGAAGATTGAGCGGTCCTCTCTCACGGGGTCCAATAGGGAGGTCATCGTCAGCACAGCCATCTACCCCTTTGCCATGGCTATGTTTGGCCAGTTCATCTACTGGACCGACTGGAACACGCGCAGCATCTATCGGGCCAACAAGCATGACGGTTCTGACCAGAGGGTCATGATTCAAAACCTTCCGTCTCGGCCTATGGACGTCCATGTTCTGGCCAGCAGGAAACAGCAGCAGTGCGATAGTCCGTGCCAGCAGTTTAACGGAGGCTGCAGCCACATCTGCACGCCGGGTAACAGCAGTTTCATCCCGCCCCGTTGTGTTTGTGTGGTAATTAAAAACTAATTGTATGAACTTTTCTGTTCAATTTGATCTTGATAGGACCCAACGGAGCGGAGTGCCAGTGTCCCTCGGAGGGCCGCTGGTACCTATCTGAAAACAAGCACTGTATAGCTGATAACGGGACCCGCTGCCAGCCGGGCCAGTTCACCTGCATGAACGGCCGCTGCATTCGTACCCAGTGGAAATGTGACAATGACAATGACTGTGGAGATGGCAGCGACGAGTCGGAGAGAGTCTGTGGTATGATGTTCTTCAAAGCGCTTGCATTTATTTTGGCCGTGCATTAATTTCTTATTTTTATTTGATTAATTTGATTACTAGCCTCCTCCTAGAGCCCTTAAACCTCTTGCATGAGTAAAACACAACTCCTTTCTCTAATAAATACTATTATTTATCTTTTTCCCCCACCAATACTAACAAATGATTTATTTCTTCTTCAACAAAATTCTGTCTTAGGACATAAACCTGACTTCAACTATGTCGGTGTGTATGCTTCCACTTCATGATTAAGTTGCCACTAACGCGCACATAATTCTGGATATTAAAGCAAATGAACACTAACAAATGAATCAATGTCCTTATATCTTTGCATGCAGTCCCACAGCTGCTGTCATCCTTTATTGCCTTGTCAGGTAAAATTAGTTTTAAATGCATGTGTATTCAGGCCTTCCCATTGGCCGGGGCTCTAACGCGTTCTTGATTCTGATTGGCAGCCTTCCACACCTGTGAGCCGACAGTGTTTACTTGTGGCAATGGGCGATGTGTGCCTTACCACTATCGCTGTGACCACTATGACAACTGTGGAGACGGCAGTGATGAGTTGGGCTGTTTATTCAGACCGTGCGACCCAAACACAGAGTTCACCTGCAGCAATGGCCGCTGCATTGCTAAGGACTTTGTATGCAACGGCGTCAATAACTGCTATGACAACAGCACCTCTGATGAACAAAACTGCCGTGAGTATCCCAAGTTTGCAGAAACGCAGATAGATGGTCACATGAAAGTGGTCATTACTCATAGGAAATGCCAATTCTAACTTCTGATCGTTTCAGCGGAGAGAACCTGCCAGCCAGAACACACAAAATGTCAGTCTACCAACATCTGCATCCCACGTTCATACCTGTGTGACGGAGACAACGACTGCGGGGACATGAGCGATGAGAGCCCGACACACTGTGGTGAGCTCTGCAGTGCTCAGTTGTGCTTTTAAAAAAATAGATTCTTTCTCTCAATATCCTCCGCATAATAGAAACAAAATAGTTTCCTTTTCCAAATCGCTATAATTTGACCGGTTCAATGTGGCATTTTCACATCTATTATTGGTGAGGGTGTTGTATTGTGAGTCTTTTGAAAAGATGCTGCAATTGGTATTTTTTAGCTCTATTGTGTACATTTTTGAGTGGACTGAACAGTGCAAATATGTTACACATGCATTGATTATACACAGCTTTCTACAATCACCTTTACTAAGCCAAGCCAAGTTTCCTAAGGAGAATTTTTTTTATTAGAAATGAAAAACACAAATATATTATATTTACACAAATATAAATCTTTAGGATCCCTTTGAGTATGATGTAGCAAAAGAGGCATCTGCTCAGTCTTGGTAAAGCAGGATTTGAATGAATCAACCTAAAGCTCTGAGATGTAAAAGAGTCAGAAACAGATTAGTCTTCACCCCACCCCCACTCATCAGCATAGTAAGATTCCCACGCTGAAAAGTCGTTTCATGCCTCTCCACGTCTTCCACATAGCGACGTCCACATGTTCCCAGACCGAGTTCCGCTGCTCTAGCGGCCGCTGCATCCCCGCCCACTGGTACTGTGATGGAGGGGCCGACTGCGCTGACGGCTCGGATGAACCCCTCTCCTGCAGTGAGTGTCAATGCTGAGACGACGCTTTGTGTGTCCGCCGCCGCCCCATTATCAGCTGCTCGGTCATTGTGCGTTTGTGTCCGTCCGCCGATCTGCATCTGTCTGCTGGTGTGAGAGAGAGCTGAGAGTGATGTAGCGGAGAGTGCCAGTCAGTGGTGTATTTCTTTGTTGATGATGTGGTCAGCCAGGCCTCCTATTGTGCGCCGCATTCCTCTGTGGTGACGCCCATTAGTGTCCTCTGACAAACAGCACCTCCCCCTCCCTTTGTCCATCAGGGGTTACAGAGCCTCACTTTGGCCTTTGTTTAGATAGCTCACCATGCATGGGAATGTCGAGTTGCCATGACTATTTTGAAAGCTTTGCCTGTGTCATATTGTGTCTTGCTTAAAAGCAGTGGGGGAGGTACCTGAGATGATTGGAAATCACAAAAATAAATGAAATGAAAGGATGATAATTGCATGATGAATATTAATGAACTGGCAAAGACATTGAAACTCAATATTGTCCTGTGTTAATTACAGTTTAATGTTATATGATTTGTGTCTGCAGCCACGCCGGTCAGAACCTGCACCACAGATCAGTTTCGCTGTGATGATGGCAGGTGCATTGCCTCATCCTGGATCTGCGATGGGGACAATGACTGTGGCGACATGAGTGATGAAGACCAGAGGCATGAGTGTGGTAGGCATCTTTTCATTGCCTCTCATGCCTTCTCTCCTTACCCTTCTTCCTTCTCTTTGTCCTCATCCCCTTTTCTGCAGCTTCCTACTTCTTTATGTCCTCCCCTCGTGGCCCAGCCCTCTTGTTTGCCACTTTGCCCCCTCCTGCTTCCCTCATCCTCTCGTTATTCAGGACGCTGATGGATTAGGATACACACCGCCGGGGGAAGAGTTGTTTGGGAGACACTGGCAGTCAGTGCCCGGCATCTTATTCTCCTGTTGAAGGTCTCCAATCCAAGGAGCTGACATTCCTGATTTCTCCTGCCTCACTCGTTACTTTGTGCATGCCTCCTTTCTCTGGCTTCCTGGCTCAGGGTGGATCAGGACTCTTACGTCTCACCAATGTGTGCTCCGACAAAAAGATGCCTGAAGCTAAAGACTGCAGCACTGCCTGAGCTCTCTGTAGGAGACAACAATGTGGATCAATCTCGTTAAATGGATGAAGAATTTGAAGTCGCGGCTGCTTGTTTTGAAATACAGTTTGGAATGTTCGGATTGGCAAAAATGCAGGTTGACATTGGGTCATCACTACGGCTTTCCTCAAACAAAGACAGTCAACTCAAATCTGTTACGACATTCAAATGTCTGATCTGTAAACTCGTGCTTCTCCACTTGTGTATACTAAGGAGCCACTCATGCTTTTGGGGAAATAGAGTAAAGACTGATACCAACCAATTGCAGAAAGCCCATATTTTGCTCCTTGTAAATGGCCTTGCCTGAATTTGTTCTTTATTTTTTATTCCAGGCAATCGCACATGTTCAACTGCAGAGTTCACTTGTGTCAACAACCAACCACCTCAGCGGAAATGTATCCCACGCGACTGGGTGTGTGACGGAGACGCAGACTGTGCAGATGCATTAGACGAACATCAAAACTGTTCACGCAGATCCTGTGGCATCAACGAGTTCAGCTGTAACAATGGCCTCTGCATCCGCAACTCCTACAGGTTAGAAAAATAAAAACCTCAACGCCATTCATTACGTCTGTCATCTGTCCGTCCGGCAATCTGACAAAATCTTTTGCGGCCTGTTGTCTGAAATCAGGTGTGACCGCCGCAACGACTGCGGGGACAGCAGCGACGAGCAGAGCTGCACCTACCAGCCGTGTCAGCAACACCAGTTCACCTGTCAGAACGGCCGCTGTGTGTCTCACGACTTCGTCTGCGACGGCGACAACGACTGCGGGGACGAGTCCGATGAGCTGGAGCACACGTGCCACACGCCGGCGCCCACGTGCCCCCCCGGAGAGTTCAGGTGTGACAACGGCCACTGTGTCCCCCTGAGGCAGGTGTGCGACAGGAGCGACGACTGCTCCGACAACAGCGACGAGAAGGGATGCGGTGAGTGTCAGGAGGTCTCTACAAAAAGTTAAAGAAACTGGGACATTTACGTTTTTTCCATTTGCTTCCTAAGGACTCATTTTCTTTGCCAACAACTTTCTTTCGACAAAAATTGTGTTGGTATAACGCTTATTTTTGTATGCAGGTGTCAACGAATGCACGGAACCAGCCGTCCATCACTGTGACCACAATTGCACCGACACGCCCACCAGCTTCATCTGCACCTGTCGCCCCGGCCACCGCCTCATGTCCGACCACGTCACGTGCGACGACATCGACGAGTGCGCAGAGACGCCGAGCGTGTGCAGCCAGGTCTGCGAGAACACCGTCGGCTCCTACGTCTGTAAGTGTGCCCCGGGATTCCTCCGGGAGCCCGACGGCCACAGCTGCCGCCAGAACAGTGACATCTCCCCCTACCTGATCTTCAGCAACCGCTATTACCTCAGGAACCTGTCGACGGACGGACAGGCCTACTCTCTGATCCTGCAGGGCCTGACCAGCGTGGTGGCCATGGACTTTGATCGAGTCGACAGGCGTCTTTATTGGATCGACGTGAGCCGCAGAGTGATCGAGAGGATGTCGTACACGGGCGCTAACAGAGAGGTGGTGGTGAATGGAGTTCTGCACGGGGAGGGCCTCGCGGTTGACTGGATAGCCAGAAAACTCTACTGGGTGGACAGCTTCTTGGATTGTCTCCAGGTGTCTGAGCTGGACGGTCGATTCGTGAAGAAACTTGCCGAGCACTGCGTGGATGCCAACAACACCTTCTGCTTTGAAAACCCCAGAGCCATTGTGTTGCATCCCAAATACGGGTGAGCCGGAGGCAGCGAGGAATTCAGTCTTATGATTAAGCCCGAGCAATGTATCAGCTGGGCTGTTGGTCCCAGCATATGTAGGGTGGGCAATTGCAGTGCAGTAAATTGCATAACTAAATGTTTGTAAGGCATAACAATTCTGAAATTGGATCTGTATTTGTTTTCTTTGCTGTGATTTGTTTGACTTACTATAGGGAAATGCAGTTAGACAAAAACTTTGAAATGAACTAGAATGAATATATTCATCTTAGTGACTGTTTACAAGGCTGTCAGCCTGCTTTTATCAAAAATCTTAAACAACCAAACCCAAAGTATTGTCGTTGGAAATATAATTTATCAGATTGTACAAAATACTGTATCAATGTTGCTCTTTCCCATTTAAAGCAAAATGATTGAAACGCTTTAGTAAGTATAATATATAAGTATATATTTTCTCTGCTACCTGTTAGGTTCGTATACTGGACGGACTGGGGAGACAGAGCCTTCATCGGCCGTGTCGGGATGGATGGAACCAACAAAGCAGCCATCATCACCACCAAGATAGAGTGGCCAAACGGGATTACCATTGACTACACCAATGACAAGCTCTACTGGTCCGATGCTCACCTCCGTTACATAGAGTAGGTGCATCTCATCGGGAAGGGATCACACTGTTCCTGCCCACAGTAATTGCAATCAGACTTGTAACGCTGCCATTTTTAATTTTTTTATTTCTCAGGTACTCAGACTTGGACGGGCACCACAGACACACGGTGTATGACGGAGTTTTGTCTCACCCGTTTGCCTTGACCGTGTTCGAGGACTTTGTGTACTGGACTGACTGGAACACGCGCTCAGTGGAGAAAGGAAACAAGTACGACGGCTCTGGGCGCCAGGCCCTGGTTAACACCACCCACCGACCATTCGACATCCACGTGTGTCATCCCTACCGGCAGCCCATCGGTGGGTTCAAGCTGTGTGTGTCAAGAGCTTTTAGTTGTCTCTTATCTCAACAGTCGCTTTACGTACCGGGAAGTGACCGCCAGCAGAACAATACCCGGCCGGAATGGGGAACGGAGACTATTTAACCCAACTGTGGCTCTTCCTCTGACAGTAAACAATCCCTGTGCTGAGAACAATGGAGGCTGCTCTCACCTGTGCCTGATCCGTCATGCGGGGCGGAACCACACCTGTGAGTGCCCGGACCATTTCCTGACTGTGCAGATCGGAGGTGTGACCCGATGCCTTCCCATGTGTAGCAGCACCCAGTACAGATGTGCTAACAACGAACGGTTTGTCAAATGCTCTTTTCTGTCCAACGGGTTGTTTTGTTTTTATTTGAAATATCAGCATGATGTTGATGAACTGACCGTGATATATTTCTGGCATCATTAATAAATTAGACCACTGTTAGGGTGACTGGTTGTTGCTTTCACATGCCATGAGATTTGTCAGTGTGAAGGTAAAACTAGAGGCCAGATTTCTTATAATTATACTTTGATATGAAAAACGGTTTGTTAGCAATATTTCTCGTCTGTAATTTCAAAGGAAATAGAGGGGAAAGCTCGGTTTACTCTCTTTGCAAAACAGCGCTCCCTACTGTTTGTTTTGTCTTCTTCACTTTCTTATTTCTTCTGCTGCTTCTTCTTTAAGGGTAACTTAATTGATAATAATTTAGGATAGGAATATACAAGCATTATGCTTCTGCCGATACCTTCCGACCTTCAGTCACACGGTATATTAGTTTTTTTTATCTACGCTTCACGCATTGTATTGTATGTAATGACATAAACACTAACTAACTTTTCATAATATAATCTGTCCATCAAGGTCTTTTATATAGATATATTATTATATGAAATTGTAATGTTGTAAAAATTGATTTATCAATGTTAATACTATTTTTAAGCCCACTTTCATTTTTGCAGCCTTTCACAGAGTTGTGAGTAGTTATTCAGTCCATGTAATGAGCTCAGGAGTCACAGAAACCTCTTTTCGCCCTCGCTCTGCTTCCGCAGATGCATCCCTATCTGGTGGAAATGCGACGGTCAGAGCGACTGCAGAGACGGCTCAGACGAGCCCGCCACTTGCCCGGCTCGTCAGTGCAGGCTCGGCCAGTTCCAGTGCAACGATGGAAACTGCACCAGTCCACACTTTCTGTGCAACAGCAACCAGGACTGCCACGACGGCTCTGACGAAGACCCTGTGCTGTGTGGTGGGTCGGGTTCTTTAAACCTATTAATTTCACTGGATATTATTCATTTCTCGGAAATATCCCGTTTTCTTTATGTCTCACGGTTATCTTGTGACTTTTTCTATAGCCACACACCAGTGTGAAGCCCACCAGTGGCAGTGTGCAAATAAACGGTGTGTACCTGAGTCATGGCAGTGTGACGGCGAGGACGACTGCGGGGATCAGTCCGACGAGGACCCCGCCCACTGCTCCGCCAGAACTTGCCGCCCGGGGCAATTTAAGTGCCGAAATGGACGCTGCATTCCCCAGAGCTGGAAATGTGACGTTGACGATGATTGTGGCGACAACTCTGATGAACCGTTGGAGGAATGCAGTGAGTAATAAACCGCTCCTTCAACAAGCACTCAATCTGGAGAAAGTTATTAGTTAGTTAAACCTGCTGCAGTTTCTTTGCCTTTGTCTCCCTTACGTGATCACTGTGGTGTTTTACTGTGGTGTTTACAGTGGGACGGGAACATCGATGTGACAACCACACAGAGTTTGACTGCAAGACCAACTACCGCTGCGTGCCACTGTGGTCTGTTTGCAATGGCAACAACGACTGCAGGGACAACAGTGACGAGCAGGGCTGTGGTGAGTCTGCATCCTTGACACGGACCTGAGGTCCCGTTTAAACCAAGGCTCTGATTTGATACCTGTTCGTTAGGGTTGCATATGCTACAGCGAGAGCTCCGGGCTTATTATGCATTACTTATCACATGATTCCTGACATCTCAGAAGATGAAACGCTTTACGTCATGGAAACGAGATCACGCGTCGAAGGAGTGAGTAAGCGGCAATTAGCCAACACCTCAGCCTCCTGCGGAACATTACAGAGGGAGGTGGTGGGAGGTGCTGATGGAGAGGGTCTCACCACTCAACCTCCCCCACCATTTGCTTCTCCCTTAAAGCACCACAGATTTATGAGCTGCCCTGCGCTATGGTTCCACATGTCTATGTGTGTGTGTTTTTGCTCTGTCCTTGCGTGGGGGCAGGGTTCACACAAGTTTCTTTGTACTTTGCTGCGATCCAAACACCCTCCCGTCTCTTATCGGAGGCCCTGACTCCATTAGTGCCATGCCAGCGCAGGACGGGAGATCAGTGCTAATCTTCCTGTAAGAATGTGGCAGATGGACCAGGTGGAGGGCTGGGAGGGCAGGACCGGCTAACACGGCGCTATCTTTGACCCCCGGCATTGTGTGTTAAGAGACGGCTCAGACCAGCTCTGCTCAACTCCTCTCCTGTGTGTGCTTCTCATCTCTCCTCAACAGACACACACACACAAGCATGGCGAGAGTTCCTGCTCTTGTTCCTCTACAAACAGTTTCATTACAAAACAAGATGCCTTTCACTTCCAATTGACTTTTTTTTTTATCATGACCCAATAACCGGAACGTTTTTCCTCATAATAATACAGAGTGAATAGAACATGAAGGTGAAACAAAGTACCGTTCTTGAAAAGCCGAGCGACGATCAGTTTCATGTTCCTGCTCCTTTCTTAGACGAAGTGACCTGCGATCCTAACGGAGACTTCCGCTGCGACAACCACCGCTGCATCCCGCTGAGATGGAGTTGTGACGGGGACGACGACTGCGGGGACAACTCCGACGAGCGCAGCTGCAGTGAGTGCCGCTCAATCGTGTCGTTTCCTTTGAACACCGCTGAGACCTTCAAGAACCGGGTCCATTGTTTGACGTCACTCAAGTGTCTTTTAAGTAGGCTCAGCAGAGGATTTAAACTCCTGTGAATGATCTAAATGCAAAAAAAGCAGTGTGAATGTTAAGGAATAGTCCTGCCGTCCTCTTCTATCAGACAGCGGTGGTGGGGAGGAGGGTGGGGGAGGTTTGTGAGATGCTCGACACTTCTGCTTGCGAGCCCTGAGACAGGTGGTCTTATCAGCCCGCGAGAGAAACACGCTGTCCTCGGCGTGTCAGAGAGACAGGGAGGGAAGGAGTCCGTCACCTTTTGCCCCGGAGAATTCAAACATGTCTGAGAACACGGCAGTTATTAGAGATAACGTAGCTTCTCAAAAGCGCGGCAGCGTCTGGGGGTTAAATCACGGCGGCACCGCTCCGCTCGTTGCTGTGCTGCTCCATGCCAGGAGAGTGAAAGCACGAGCTCACTGCAGAGTAGCGGCTGCACACGCTGCTTGTGTGTGTGTTCAGTACGCTCAATGTGTTGTGTACTTTTTACAAAACAACAACTTTGTTGATTCCACGCCTTGTGTTGCTTGTGTCCTCCCCTCAGCTCCTCGCTCCTGCACAGAGAGCGAGTTTCGTTGTGGAAATCTGCGCTGCATTCCCGACCGTTGGGTCTGTGACCATGACAACGACTGTGAGGACAACTCGGATGAAAGGGACTGTGGTAAGTGGAGGCTCTTTGTTGGCTGGCTGTCTGTAGTAACGGGGGGCTGCACTAAACAAAGGAGCAATAAAACGTCACCTTTTGATGCATAAACAGAAAGGACCACCAATAGTGAAGTATTCAATAATAGTTTATTCACTGCTACCCAGTGCTGGTAGGACACATAATAAGACAATAAGACCCTCTGAGCACCATGCATCAAGTTATTCTTGATAAGATAAATACATTTAAAGAGTATTTTTCATAAAAAATGATCTGAATTTTCTTCATCACTCTGATAAAGCTGATGCTCCCTTTTTCGTGAGTCGTGTATATTTCTACGTGATGGTTCAACTGTGTTGCAGAGTTGCGGACTTGTCCCCCCGGATACTTCCAGTGCAGCAGTGGACACTGCATCACTGAGCGCTTCAAATGTGACGGCAACGCCGACTGCCTGGACTTCACAGATGAGACGTTTTGCCGTGAGTGTCCCGCATTGCATGTTATCGGCGTGCACTCGTAGATGACAGCTGATTCGTTTTTTTAAATGATTTTTTATTCATGGCTTGCAGCGACCCGCTTTCCCAACGGCACGTACTGCCCCGCGTTCCTGTTTGAGTGCAAGAACCACGTGTGCGTCCAGCCTCATTGGAAATGTGACGGAGACAATGACTGCGGGGACAACTCCGACGAGGAGCTTCACCTCTGCCGTAAGGAGCGACATGAACACAAAACAAAAGCCTCTAAGCCAAGTATCCGGCAAACTCAATATTGGCGAATGGGTGGAATTCTTGCACTGAGGTTTTTCTTAAGACGTCCTGTTTGTCCACAGTGGACATCCAGTGTGAGGCTCCGTTCCGGTTCCGCTGTGACAACAACCGCTGCATCTACAGCCACGAGCTGTGCAACTCCGTCGATGACTGTGGCGACGGCTCTGACGAGAGGCAGGAAAACTGTGAGTTCAATAGTTTTGCTGCTGCTCGTTTATATTGTAAATCGGATAAAAATGCTCATTCTTTTCTACCTCATCTCCATGCAGCTCCTGAGTCAATATGCTTTTGTTGTTTTTATACCTAGGCCAGAGTCCCACTCCTGGGCCGTGTTCAGACGACGAGTACAAATGCAGCAACGGACAATGCATCCCGCTGCAGTACGCCTGTGACGATTACAATGACTGCGGAGACCAGTCGGATGAGCTGGGCTGCCGTGAGTAACCAACCGCATAGCAGTCATGATGAGGAATTTTAATATGAAAATATGGTTCTAAACTGGCGGGTAACCAAATATGAGTATGATCAATAAGTGAGTACTATTGCTGCAGTACAATGAGTTTTCTAAAAGGATTCTGGTTTCTTAGGATAAGGATAAGGATAGGATAAGGATTCTTATTTATTGACGGGCTGCCAGAATCAACACAAAAAGAAATGCTCCTTGTAGTGGTTTTGAATTAGTATATTTCACCGTGGATTTATTCTGAGGCAGCAGCAAGACTCTAATGCATTAACCTCTTTGGCCATCTTGTTTGACTTCAACTGTAACTGATCAAGAGTAAATACGGTTCTGTTGATGCTAAACTGTCATCTTTCGCGTGTGTCTAGTTTGACGTTCCGCGTGTTTTTGTGTTTCCTCCTGTCAGATCACGGCAGTAGTCACATGTGCAGCGACAACATCTGTGAACACAACTGTACTGACCTGACACAGGGAGGCATCCTCTGCTCGTGCAGACACGGCTTTAAGCCCAGAATGACAGAAAAGCACACCTGTGAAGGTAAACGTCACGTAAATTCACTCAGTCCCTCTGCCCATTTAAAACACTGACAGTTTTCTCTTCTTTAATGTCTTCTTGCTTTTGGAAACAGATGTGAATGAGTGCGAGGTGTACGACACGTGTCCTCAAGAGTGCAAGAACACGAAGGGCAGCTACGAGTGTTTTTGCGCTGACGGGTTTCTTTCCTTCGGTGAGCCGCGCGGGACGGAGTGCGCTGCCCAGGGTAAGAGCTCGGCATCCATACGCACCGGAAGCTTTGTTACAAACGTTTCCTTTTATTAGCCGGTTCATTTCTCTGCAGGAAACCCACCGGTGCTGCTGTTGCCAGACAACGTCCGCATTCGCCGCTTCAACCTGTCGTCCGAGCAGTATTCGGACTACGTGGACAACGCTGAGCACATCCAAGCCCTGGACTACCTGTGGGACCCCGAGGGCCAAGGACTCAGTAAGCCCTCTGACCGTGAACCTTTAAACGCTCCCGTTGTTCACTGCGGTGAATACATAAACGTTCGGCCCGGCCCTGTTGTGTGTCTGTAGGTGTGGTGTACTGGACGGTTCTCGGCCGGGGATCTCAGTTTGGCTCCATCAAACGCGCCCACATCACCACATTCAACGATAACGGCAACAACCCAGTGAAAGAAGTGGACCTGAACCTGAGATACATCGCTAGTCCTGACGGCATCGCCGTGGACTGGGTCGGCGGGTAATCCACCGGCGTTAATCACTTTGCAGAAGATGCTCTAAATGTGGTTCAGTTGTTCAGTATGCATTTATAACCTCACAGGCACATTTATTGGACGGATTCAGGGACCAATCGAATCGAAGTGGCCAAGCTAGATGGGCGGTACAGGAAGTGGTTGATCCACACAGACCTGGACCAGCCAGCTGCTATTGTTGTCAATCCATCACTTGGGTACGTTTTGCGTCCTTAGTTCCGTTCTACAATCTGAGGACGATTTCTACCCAGACAAAAACACATATGTTTTGTCTTGTTTCTGTGTGGACAGGAGGATGTACTGGACCGACTGGGGCCGGAAGCCCAGAATAGAATCAGCGTGGATGGACGGTCAGCACAGAGAGGTGCTGGTGAAGGAGGAGGACCTGGGCTGGCCTACTGGGCTGGCTCTGGACTACCTCAATGGAAACAGGATCTACTGGTGTGACTCCAAAGAAAACATCATTGAGTCCATGAAGCCTGATGGCACAGACCGAAATACCGTCATATCTGGAGGTCAGAGCACCGACGGCCAGTCTGCAGAAAAACTAAACAGTTTTGAGGTGTATCAAGTATTTAATAGTGGAGTAGATTTTTAAGTATCGTGTTTCCTCTGTTTTCAGACATCGGCCATCCTTACAGTCTGGATGTGTTCGAGGGGCATGTGTACTGGACTACAAAAGATAAAGGTGAAGTGTGGAAGACTAACAAGTTTGGGAAAGGACATAAGGTCAAAGTGTTAACCATCAACCCCTGGCTTACTCAAGTCCGCATCTACCAGGAGCAACGGCACAACCAGTCAGGTGAGAACAGCGAGGGATTCGTATTAAGGGACAAGGGTTGGATTATCTGTGCAACACCTTGAGACAATGTAGTGACCTTCAAAAAGGCTCAGTACGTGAAATTGTAAAAGTTAAATAGATGTCACACAACATCCGTAAAACCTATATTAGCTCATATAATCTCCGCTGAGCCACACCTAACAGTGTCATTCTTTGTTCTCTTCCCGCTTCAGTACCCAACCCTTGTAAGACTGTGTGCAGTCACCTCTGTCTCCTCCGGCCCGGCGGGTACACCTGCGCCTGCCCTCAGGGGTCCTCTCTGGTGCGGTTTGACTCCAGTGAATGTGATGCAGGTGAGCCAAAGCCTGAGTGCCTCTGCTCTCCGCACTCTACCGTTTGCCGCTGTCTTGCGTTTCATTTTGCATTCGTGTAACTCCCTTCCTCGTGCGTGCCTGCCCGGCTCCTGTGCGTCGCCGTGAAACTCTGCCGTTATATTGTTTTGTTGTTGTTGTAGTTGTTCATTCTGTGTATGCCTGGCTTTTGCTCCTGCAGCCATTGAGGCACCTGTTGAAATGCCCGCTGCATGTAGATGCATGAATGGTGGAACCTGCTACACTGATGAAGGCGGTCTGCCCAAGTGCAAGTGAGTGTAGATCGGTGCCATTCACACCAGTGATTGATCAGTCACACCCAGAAATGCCTGATATTTGCGGTATTCCCCTTCCTTGAATTAACAATCAAGATGTTGTTTTCCCGAGTAGAAATATTCTGTTTATTATGCCTTTCTGCAGATGTCCGTACGGTTATGTGGGCAGTTATTGTGAGGTGGGGAAGTCAAGGGGGGCTCCAGCAGGAACAGGTACTGTAACACAAGCTTTTATTCATTTGTTCTCATGGCACTTGATTCTTCCCTCCTTAAACTGAAAGAGTTGCTGAAACGAATCCATCCAACCAAAACCTGTGGGATTCCTTCCAACGTGCAGTTGGTCGATGTGTGTGGGAGCTGCTGCACTGTGACTAATTCATGACCTGTTGACTTTACTGGAGCCGACCAAATGTGATGAATTCACACAAAGCTGCTCACAAGAAACGTCCGCCTCAGCACTTTGCCGAAGATGTTGACTGTCCAAAATCCTACATTAGCTTAATAATTTGCCAAGTAACACTTCAATTTGATTACTGTTCAACTTCTCTAATGGGTTAACAAACAAACGGGTCAACGAACTCTAAAGGACAATTCTGCAAAATGTTATTACAGCAGACATTTTTATGATCGAGATCTTATTGCAGTGGTCTAACGTGCATACTTTTTCTTTAGCCGTGGCTGTTCTTCTGGCAGTCATCATCATCCTCATCACTGGAGCTTTGGCTGTCGGGGTTTTCCTCAACTACAAACGAACAGGATCTTTCATCCCCCCAATGCCCAAATTACCTAAGTATGTTGTCTCTTTTGTTTCCTCTTTGGGACTGTCTTCTTTTAACTGATTAATGCACGCAGAATCAAGAGCAAAGTTCAAATCAAAGTACTTTGTTATCGTCCAGCTTCAGCATCCTGGTGAAGTCCGGAGACAACGGGAACGGTGTCACGTTTCGCTCCGGGGATAACGTTGACCTGGGACCGCCACACATCGGAGTGTCTTTCATTGACTCGGCCATGCAGATGGTAAGTCCGGGAAGGATTTTTCTTTCTTCATCATTCATTGACCACTTTAACTCGAGCTCTCCCTCTGGAAGTGCTTGTGTGAGCACGTGGTGTAATTGAGTGAATGTAGGAAGCAATCCTATCAATATAATATCCCCCCAGGACGATCATTTTGCCATGGAAGCTGGGAGGCAGCCAATCACATTTGAGAACCCGTTATACGCAACAGCACCTGGATTGTCTGGTGATCCTGCTGTCATTCACCCCACACAGGTACCACCATTGTTGACTGAATTCATTCTCCCACTTGGAGTTACATGACATTTACACCACACCGAGTCTTCCAGCAGTTGAGTCATAATAATCTAGAACAGTCTATAATAACATAATAATAGTCTATAATAACATATTTCTAAAACCATGATATTAAGGACAATATCAAACAGTAATTTAGCAGATGCGTATTAGGTGATAGGAAAATATTTTTGAATATGTTTGCTGGCAAGTAGATCCTTGTTATTGCTGAGTACTAACTAATGAGAAAAAAGAAAGCGCTTATACCAACTGACTGCTGTGTCATACCATCATTTTCTTTTATTCTACGTGGCCATGACGGCTGCTTTAAGTCCTTTGACTCCTTGTGGACCAAAACATTGTCACACCCATGCACAGTAACAGAAGTATTTTTATTTCTTATAACACTGCAGGTATTTTCTGGCCTTTCTTTTTGCAATTGTACCATCAATTGCAGAGAATTTCTTGCATCTGTGCCTGCTGTTTATTTTATTAATAATCCAAAATGGAAGACCGTGTCATTAATCAAACCAATTAGATAATTCGTCCTGACCGAAGAAACTGACGGGACTCTGAATGTCAACAGGTGACTGTGAATGTGAGCGGTGAACAGTTGGACAACAGGTTCGTGAACCCGGCGCACCACGGAGGTCCAGATGTGGCCGTTGTGAACACATCTTCTGCCAAACCTGTGCAGGTGACTCTCTCAAACACACTGTGTGCATGTGAAACCATGCAAGCAAGGTCATTGTTTGTGTCACCTCGCTGTTTGTGTTTGTTTCGCAGGAGTCAAAGTGGAGCTTATTCAAGAAGAAACTAAAGCCAAGCGCCACATTCGAAAACCCTTCATATTCAGAGGTAAGTTAACATTTTCAAGACACTAGTTACAACACAAAAAGCACAGGTATCCTTTGTTCACCGCGTGTATTTGTACAGATGAAGGACGAGAAGGCCGCAGGCAGCAGAGCGGTCTCCTCTGCCCCCGAGCCCTCTCCGTTTGTCCCCCCCGCCAAACCTCAGAAGACGAATCGTCCCAGCGCCTTTACGCCAACCGAGGACAGTTTCAAAGACACGGCCAACCTGGTGAAAGCGGACAGCGACGTATAACCCCCATCTCTCTCACCGACGGGAATCGGGACATAAAAAGAAACACACTTTGCACAGAATTTATTTTTTTATGCAGCCTGTGTACAAACACTCACGTTGTTTTGGGAGAGAGAAATACATTTCTATAGAATGAAGATAGAAGTGTGATGTCACGCCTTCTGACATTTCTTACGCCAATTTCTTTTGTGAATGTTTTTTCTGATGTACAATATGTATATCTTTGCACTGAAGCTGCTGATAGAAATGTTGATAAATAAATTGTATATTTGTAAATTTGAACAGTACGATTTTGTCAGAAAATATCTTTAAAATAGATCCTATGAGTAGTTCAACATAAACACAATTTTAAAAAAAAGCGAGCTGCATTCGGAATGTACAGTACTTATATGATTGATGGTTATCAAAAGATGTGTTGAGCAATGATATTGTTTGCCACTGAACAAAACTAAAGATGTTTCTACTTCATCTGTTAAGTTTATATACCTCATTTCGGGACTTCAAACTAAACAAATTGGATTTGAAGTTATGGCATTCCATTTTTCAAAGATATTTGCTCCAGTAAAAAAACAATATAATGAGCTAAAATATGTGTGAAGCGTACTTATTGTACTTAATCAGACTCATTATGTTCCCTGACGTCTTGTGAATTTGAATGATTGTTGATTGATTGTTTAACAGTAATGATATTGGAACAATGGCCCACATTTCTACCCGAACGTGTCCACGTTTGTTTTGCATGGAGATACATTTCTGCAGTTGATTATCTTGAAGAGCAACACAGATGCTCATTTTATATACACGGTGAATAAATTCAATGATTTATTTGTATCTTAATGAGCCCAATAAAAACTGTGTGTGATCATTCACCACTTGTCCATATGGTTTAAATTGCTGCTGCTGAGACGTGAAATGAATAAATTTCCTATTTTGTAACTTGTCTGGCATCTTTATTTTGAAAATTTGTCACGACACATTTTACTTCAAAACTACGATTAAGTTGAGTTGCCTTTTAGAAATTTCCTTGACACTTAGGCGTTGGAAGAAACAGGTTGGTGGCAAAGTCTGAAACAAATGAAGGGAGGTAAGACAGAGGGATCCAAAAGAACTTTGCATCCCAGCCCGCGGCATAACGTGTGCGAGGGAAGCGAGCGGTCAGTGCATGCTCCATACACCGGGTCACCTTGGAGATATCTGGACTGCACAACAGGCCCATGGAGAAGCCCTGAGCTTCCACGTCTGACGGAGGCAAATCAAAGCAGAGGAGTAAATCGTCGTTTTTGTTTGTTGTTGAACGTCATCGACTTTACTTCCACTCACAGTCATCCAGGTACGTCTCTCCGTAAGAGTCTTTGACATCTTGAGGGAGGCGGGTCCACAGCCTCTTCAGGTCAGCTTCTATGAGATCCAGTCTGGTAACACCCGTCTTGAAGAAGCCGGGCTCGATAATGCTCACTTTGATGCCGAAGGGATGCATGTCCCGCCTGGGACGGAAGAAGCAGAACAATGCGTTTGCAGCTGGAAAGCTTTTTATAAAGAGATGAGCATGTTAACAAATGAAGTAAGGCTTACATGCTCAACATGCAGGTGTGTTTTGTTTAATAAACCCTTTACAATGTATCCTATTTTAGGAGAACGACTGATAAAGCTGGTGTCTTCCAACCTGAGGCCGTCGGAGAACGCTTCCACTCCCCATTTGGAAAGGCAGTATCCTCCGCCCGTGAGGGACAGTCTGCCCAGAATACTGGCCACATTTACCACTCTGCCCCGGGCCTTCTTCAGCAGGGGCAGAAACTGGAGCGTAACCTCGATGACTCCCATCAAATTCACATCCAGAACCTTGGTGAAATCCTCCAACTCCATCCATTCCGTTGGACCGATGGGTACGGACCGGCCAGCGTTGTTAACCAGACCCCACAGACCTGCAGAGAACAGAGGCGGGAACTTTACCGTTATGTTCTGTGCATTTTATGCAAACCATTATTATATTTGTATGATGATAACAATCATTTAAAAAAGTTATATCCTTTTGTATAAGCGGAAATGATGGTGAAATGGCACTTTGGTGTTGAGCTATATAAAGATATATAGTAATAGATTCAGACCAACAAAAGCTGTCCAGTCATGTCCACTAATTCCAATAAAGCCTTTAAAAGTCTTGCCAGTCGGCTGTGGATTAAGAAGCATTTCTTCCCTATCTAGTAGGAGGAGGAGGAGGAGGAGGAGGAGGAGGGCGAGTCGATGACGGGATGGTCCAGGTTGCCTTTATCTCTCCCGGTGCCTCCCTCTGACTGGCACCCTATCTGTCGGGGGCGGCTCACCTCGCTCTCCGACCTCTCTGCTCACAAACTCCCGCGCCGCCGCGACGCTCGCGCCGTCGGTCACGTCCATCACGAGGGTCTTCAGCCGGCCGGAGGCCGCCGCGGACAAGTCCGCCGCGCCTCGCTGCGTGAGACACGCGGCCACCACGTGGAAGCCCGCGGCGGCGTCCAGCCGGCGGGCCAGCAGGTTCCCGAAGCCGCTGTCGCAGCCGGTGATGAGCACGTGCCTCCGGTCCGGGGCGTCCACCGTGCGGGAGTCCCGGATGTGCCGCAGGACGGCGGCGAGAGCGGCCAGCAGCACCGCACAGGCTACGAGCACGTGCGACCGCGTGGCCTACCACACAAGAGCCCACAGCTTTGACTTCATGCTCCTTGCTTTTTCTTTTTTTGTTTAGATATCCTCCCGTAGAAGGTCAATAAAAGGTGGACATGGACGTAAACGTGAGAGCTGAGATAAATGAACTTACCTCCAGTAAATATGTCGTCAGATTGTCAGTTGAACCCTGGATGGAGCAAGTTGAGATGAATGAAGATCTCCCTCAGAGAAGCTTGGAAGATACACTCTGAATTCACTTTGTGTTCGTTTGTGATAATATAATTAACTGAATAATTGTTTGGGGACTAATGTAGGCAAATGCTAAATGCATTGAACAGCAAATTGACCCTTTGCTTGTAAAACACACATAATAAAAAAAGGTCGAAAAGGTCCTAAATAAATGGGCTCTTCTGCTCTAGCGCCATCTAGTGGAATGTTCTGACCATTGCAGTAATGGACCCAGACACCAGACAGGATACGAGTATCTGTCGCCCATGTTCCTGTACTGGGTTAATGGGTCAGTTCTATTGAATAACAAGAGTCCAAGGAGAACAGTGGTGATTATGAGTGTTAAAGTCATTAGAATTAAGCTATTTTTCATGTATAATGTTTCAGCACATTTTTAAAGTGTATATATTTTCAATTTAGCTTGAAATGTTGTGGGATGCAGCATCTTTCTCAAAGGTTAAAAATCCCCATAGAATTCGATTTTGTGGTACTTGGAATTTACTTGAGCTCACACATTTTAGTTACTTCAACTTTTTAAAACATTTTTTTTGCTACATTAATCTGATAGTTTTGCTAACCAGTTACTTTGTTAAAATATATTTTAGTTTTTAGTTTGATTACATTTTAAACGGCATTGTGATTATGACTATAAAACAGGATTTGAATACTTCCTCTACAAATATATTTTAACAAATATATAGCATTGTATTTAAACAAAGCTTCATTCACTTCTATAGTGCTGAGCATTAGCACTGGAGATCAGAACACACCAAGCCTATCTGCATATATATAACTAAGTTATTCCTTTAATTTGGTTTTAGTGAACTAATCTATTAATGCAATACATTTAATTCAACCACCAGATGGCATCTTATATCAATAAGATCGTTTGTGCAAAATTACGTTACAATTCAACAATGTCCTTTTCACATAAATTAAATAGTTAAAATCCAGATTCTGTTTATGTGATCTTAATTAGCATCAACGCCAATTATCAGATTCAAATTGTGTAAAATATGAATGCAAACCTACCATGACTGCAGTTCTTCATTTAAAAATAAATGCACATGAAGATCGGTCCTCAGTCTGCTTGCATTGGGGCGTGACAATGTTTTCAGTGCAACTGCAGAGTGTCAAGGTCCATACCGGATACAACAGCAGGGTTAAATGTTTCAAACACACCGGGTTGCGTAATAGACAACGTGGTTTTGATAACTGGATTCCCCTTTTACCTCAAATTCACTCTGACAACACATCTGACGCAGAAAAGAAATCATTACGCATTTGAAGAGCGGTTTTAAACAGAGGCGTCAAAGTCCATCAAGTATAAAAGGTGTCCAGGTTAGTGCTGATGTGACTGCTGCAATTATTATAATCATTCAACTTAATTAGATCTTATAATAAATGGAGCAGGCATGATCACGTCCAGTGTAGAGAAGTTTATTATACATAAAAAAAAGTTTACCTATTTTCAATGGTCGATTCTTTAAGCACAAACATGTATTACAGGAAAAATGAAGTCACTTATGGTGCGATACAAATTAGCCCAAAGGATTTTATGCAGCCAACCAAACTGACAGAATTACTTTGCAGATATCGGCCTTAGTGGTGGACTATTTCTACGAAAAAGTCTGTCCATGATGAAGGTTGGCATGTAGGACACCGGCAGCCAGAAGATCTTTGCATCCCATCCAGCAGAGTAGCGAGTGCGAGGATACACGGCGGAGACGGCGTGCTCCATGCAGCCGACCACCTTCATCAGGTTACTGTCAGTCAACATCTTGAACCTCTGATCCAGCATGTCGAGAGCTGGAAGAGAAACAGTTCCGACATGATCTTATTTTACAGGTCTGATATTTCAAAATAGTTCCTCAGATTTCGGGTTGTTGAAGAGCGCCGTGTATTTTGGAGGAAATAAGGAAACCATAGCATAACACAAAAGAAAAACTAAATTTAGAAAATCTAACACATATTTAAATGCATCTCAAGAAAACTGAATCTGTATCCATTATACAGTTGTACTCATAAGTTTAGAAGCTCAAAATTAAGGGACTTGTTCATTGTAGAACCGAATATCAGTCTTAAAGTTGACAAGAGTTTGTTGACTAAGAATGTCTTTGTCGAGGACCCACCTGGTGTCCTACTGTAAAATGTACAACTACGTTGTTTATCGATTAAAAATTGTCTCAAATGACATACAATAACAAAAAAACAATTCTGACAAGTGGAGTTAAGGGGATTTGTGTCATGGAGAAAAATCACATTGGAAGCATTTGACAAAATCATCTCTTAGCCATGCAAACTGTACAGCAATATCTTGACCTATAGAAACGGAAAGTTCACCATCATCCATCACCACCGGGGAGAAACTCACATTCTCTCAAGAAACCAGGTCCATAGTCGTCCTTCACATCCTGAGGCAATCTGTCCCAAAGCCTCCTCATGTTATTGTGCATCGCCTCTACATCGGTCACATTTGTTCTGAAGAAGCCAGGCTCAATGCACGCCACCTTGATTCCAAACGGCGCCATGTTTAAGCTGAAACAGAAGCGGGGGAAAGTGGCTGTAAATCTTTTTTTTTTTTTTTTTCTAAAAGACACTCGTGAGAACGACACCGGAGACGTGCGGGGGAGGGGGGTGGGCATGAAAAGGTCACAGTCGCTCTCACCGCAGGCTGTCATTGAAGGACTCCACGCCGTACTTGGACACACAGTACGGCCCGCCGAACGGGCTGCACCGCCCGAACACGCTGGCCACGTTCACCACCCGGCCCCTGGCCTTCTTGACGAGGGGGAGGACGCTGAGCGTCACGTCGATGACGCCGCAGAGATTGACGGCGAGCATGCCCCTGTAGTCGTCGATGTTGAGCCAGTCGGTGGGACCGGACGGCAGAGCGACGCCAGCATTGTTCACCACGGCCCACAGGCCTGGAGGGGCGACACAGGAAGAGACCAGCGTTAATGCAGAACAAAAAATGAATAATTGTTTAAAAAAAAAAAAGGGAGAGTGTTCACCCCCAAATCATGAGTACACATTTTCCCTTTTACCTGCAGTGCTACTCAATCTAGATTTATTTGGTGGGAGTGTTTTTGGATACAATACGGCTCTCCAGAAAACTTTAACAGAAAGTCTCAGATAAAAATAAAATACACAGCTTGTTGAAAGATTTGTGGATTATGATAAAAATATCCATTTCACCATCATGAAGACAAGAATGCAGATTCTAGATCACATGACCCCTGGTTTTGATAACTGCCTTCCCCATTACCTCAAATTCATTCAAGCTCAACGTCCCAGCACAAAGGTTAAAGACTGTTTGATAATGAAGGGAAGATAAACATGCATTTGTGTGTTGTGAAACAAGGAAAATCCACTGACTGTAGTGGAACGCCACCATGTGCAACAGAGCTGAATTACAGCTTACGATCAATACGGCAGGTCGGGATGAAGTCTGGAGTCAGAGACGTAATGAAGAGCCAAATGTTTTCCATTACTTGTGCAGTAGGTGTAATCCACAAGTATGAGATTTTAATAAAACAGGAAAGGGGGAAATATGCCTTTGTGATTTGGAGAGTTCGGCCCCTTTAATACACACGCGATACTTTTAAATGTGCCCATAAAAGAGAGTCCCTCCAAACCGCTCACCCTTCTCTCCAACCAAAGTGTTGATGGATGCCGCCGTCTGCCGGACGCTCTCCGAGTCGGTGACATCCAGGCGAAAGGTCGCCAGTCGGTCGGAGGAGAGCTGCTTCAGCTCCTCCGCGCCCTTCTCAGTGTAACAGCCCGCAATTACATTGTAGCCCAACTTGTCCAGGTGTCTCGCGAGGAGATTACCAAACCCAGAGTCACAGCCAGTGATGTAGACATACTTCTCCGCTTTGTTGGGCACTCTTTTCCGGTCCTTGTACCAGCGATAGACGATCCAGGGAGCTACCAGTCCGACGACATACAGGAGCATTATTTCTAAAAACCAGACTGTCAAGAGTTGAATGACAATTAACTCGCATTAACACTGCAGACAAGCTTTACTGGTTGCATATGAATAGAAGTGTACACGAAAAGATGTGTGTGTGTGTGTGTGTGTGTTACAGTTTCAACAAAACCCGCCCTGGTTGTAATCCACAATTTGGGATAATCTAGTAGAGATTAGGATATCAGATACTGTTTCCGGGGATAGTGGTGAATTTTTTTGATCTCGTATTTAAAATTAATAAAGGTTTAGTCCTCCAGTAGCTTCCTTTTCGATAAAAGCCCACGTGGAGCAAACACTGTATTTATGATCTCAAACTGAACGATTGCAAACCTCCCATCTTCGAACACGAAACTGGGGTGTGGACAAACCGGTCTCTCTTTCTCATTGTGGGCGGATTAAAAGGCTTTCTGGAATGACTGCATTGCTCAACGTAGAGGCACGGTTTTGTGCGATGATGCCTCTGTCGGGATCAGTGACACACACCCAAAGGCTATTCGACTGTTCAGATGTTAAAGAAGGAATAATAAAATATTGGCCATTCGATTTCTGCAAGGCCCAAGCAGGCATCTTAAATTGTTTTTTATAAAGATAATAAAAATATTTTAAAAAGAAACACAATATAGGCACAAAATAAGTTTAAATTATTATTTTTGTTAATGACTGATGCAACAGTAAAATATACCCTTAGATTTTTGATTTTTGATGTAACAAACAAAAAAAACGACGAATCTATTAACAAAACTGTCTGAAAATAATTTTCTGGAGTAAGTGAATTGTTTCCATCTGAAATGTTACATATTAACGTTTACAAGCAAAACAACTTCACCATGTGGACGGAGAGTCAAAGCAGCGCTGTTATTTCAGGTTTAACTAGTTGAACGTGTCTTTAGTAAAGAGTCAAAAAGAATAAACTTACGTGTCTATTTTCCGGACAAATCAGTGCGAAGGGAAAAGCAGCTGGACGTCAAACCTCAGGAGAGCCGGTCGGGAGTGAAAACGTTTTCTACATTTATTTAAATGAGACTAAACTTCCGGGGAGCTCAGGTGTGATCCCCGCCTTCTTCTTCATGGAAATGATTGTGTTGGGATCGCCCCCTGCTGGAGACTGCATGGAAATGTCCTTTCTAGATTAGATTAGATTAGATGAGATAAAAAAGGTAGATGGATGGATAGATAGATGAATAGGTTTTAGGCTCCACCCTGGTCCAGCTCTCATTTTTCAGTTCACCTTGCCCTTGAACCTGACTTGTGCTTGATTATGAGTTCCTTGTCTATTTAGTTCACATGTTTCCCTCGAGCAGAGTGAGGCACGTGAACTAAACAATCAAGTAACTCATTCAGTCAAACTGGTTTCCAAATCTTGCAGTGTTCCAGTCAGTTTCCGCCCCCCGCCACACACACACACACACACACACACACACACACACACACACACACACACACACACACACACACACACACACACACACACACACACACACACAGTCTGGGCCTCATGCTCTGCTCTTGGAGAAGATCAGCTGTAATCCAAGGTGTGTGCTGGAGTCACTTTGTTGCCTCCCTGGAAGTCACCCGCGAGCGGCTCAACCGGTCTAACCCCTCAGCCCGAGTCACCCAGCTGGATCTGAAGCCTTTCTGACTCATCCCCACTCATGCCCCGTGGTCTGCTGTCTGCGGGCGAATAGACACTGAAAGTTTACTTTGGTTCCAAATTGTGTGCACAGGATTGTGGGTATTTTAGTGTGCTCATGTACTGTTCAATCTCTACTTGTTTCTGCCTACTTTTAATACACTTCCAAGCATTACACTGTATTCACGCATGAGTACTTTTGCTCTTCACTGTGTCTCTGTTGTAACAATAGAACAATGCATCCTCGCCTCCGTGGGAAGACAATTAGGACGGTGTCGTACGACAATGTCCAAAGCCATCTGGACGCCACCATATGTGCTCCTTCGTATGAAGAGAGAGGGATCGTGCATCGTGTTCTTTGTCACTCAGAGTTTTCAGGGTTTGGGGATTCCAACAAAGCCTCGAGGAGCGTCCGTCCACAGAAATGTCCTACTCTGTTATGTGCAGCATGTCTTCATGCGTCTGCATTTGCAAATAGATGTTGGTGTTTTTCAGCTCTGTGAGACAAAAACAGGAAGATGTTTTTTTTTTATCACTTTGACTTTAGGCCCCTCCTACCGGGGATGTTATCAATCACCTCTGTTGTGAACAATTACCGGCTGTAAAGAGGGAGCAAATTCCGAACCATTGATGTCCCGGAGGTCAATAACCCCGGAATATCTGCTTAAGTACTATTGTACAAGGTTAAAAGAAACTTTCTGAAATAAAGGAATCAAAAATAGTCCTAGAACATTAAAGGCGATTGTGAAATAGTTATTGGATTTTTTGTGTTTTGAGACACCACCTGCCAACGGTAAACAGCCTTACGGTTATTTAACTTGTTGCACTGCCACTTATTATGGAAAGTTATACCAAGGGATGTTTAATTAGTAAAAAACCATCACAAACATCCTACTGTTTGTTTTTGAAGACGATGGCATGACAGTCAATGAACTCCTACAATTGATATCAGCACTTAGTTACAGAGGTGGTCTAGATGTCATAATACTCACACACCTCTTATCAGTCTAATAGAGGAGTAGATAATAGGAAACAAGGGGCATAGGTTACCTGAAAATGGCAAAGATTGGAACTTATTCCGATGCGCTTCAGTGGTCTGACGGATATCCGAGGAGACGCTCAGTGAGAAGTCCAGGTACACTATGTTTTTCTTTTCTTCTCTAACGCTTAACTAGGATCTCCTCCCATACATGCTGTCTATATACATGAACCATTTGTTACAGTCAGGACAACTGCCTAAGTGGAGGAAGCAAACATGAAGAAATCAATCAGAAGAAACACAACAACAGACAAAAGTGGTGAGTGATCTATTTTCATTGTAAAAGAAGAGACACAAATAAATGCTGCGTTTTATATAAAAAAGCAACAACGAAATAAATAAGAAACTAAATGTAGCTTTACCACTTTTTCTTGCAGTCACGGAGAATGAGTAAGTTTTCTTTGATTCAACGATGTACTACTTTATGTTTCATAACATGCTGTCTGCACTGGTCCTGTTGTCGCTTCTCTAATGTGTTACAGAGAAAAGAAGACAAAGGAAGAGACTCTAAGTGTTGGATACTTTCAACTGGTAAATACTGTGCTTTTGCTCACGTTGTAATCAAACAGTGATGGAAAATAAGTTTATTTTACATGACTTTTTATTCATATAATACTTTAGTCCAAAGGGACTAAGAATACGAGCTTTCTCAGAATGCAAGATGGGGAGTGTATTCTTTTCACAAGGGAAACTATAAGTGTATCCAATGCTACAATAACAGTAGTTTGACAGCCTTTGTTACTAATATATACAGATTACAATTGTACATAAAAACATAAATACGTTTTAAAAATGTTATGAGAACATTTTTCTCAGATTTTGCTTGTCAGACTTTTACTTGTGATGTGCTGTTTCACATTGTTGCATTGGTGAATTTATTTATGTAAATGATGAGAGATTCTATACCCCTCTTAAAGTCTTTTATTCATCATTTCTTTTATTGAATCATCAAGCAAATAAAACAAATAAAAGCAAAATGTTCTTTTTGCAGTTTCGCTTCGCCACTTGCAAAGACACCTTGATGATGTTAGCGGGGAGTTTGTGCGCCGTCATTCACGGTGCAGCCACGCCTCTCATGCTTTTGGTGTACAGCAGGATGACAAACACGTTTGTTGCTTATGAGATTGAGGTCCAGACGCTTAAAGATGAAAATACGACGTGCAGCAACAACACAATCTATTGGAAGAATGGCTCCGTGTATGAAACAGCTGGAAACGACTCTGTGTATTGTGGGTAAGTTGCTAGTTAGCTGTTTATGTGATTGTTGTTTCACAAGTTACTCATTTATTTGTTACTACAGGGTGGATATTGAAGCACAGATGACCATGTTTGCATACTACTACGTTGGGATTGGAATAGGGGTTTTGTTTGTCAGCTATTTTCAAGTACGTATTCATGCCATATTCAGCCTCAATTTCATTATGACGCTGTTGCACATCCCTCACAGAAATAACTTTGTACAACTCTTGTTGGTCACCGTAGATCGTCCTCTGGATGTCAGCAGCTGCGAGACAAACCTATCAAATGAGAAAGACTTACTTCAAAAAAATAATGCAAATGGAGATTGGATGGTTTGACTGCAACTCTGTCGGTGAACTAAACACTCGGATGTCGGAGTGAGTTGGGGCCCTTAAAGTTCCACCTCTTATCAGTTCATAGATGGGATAAGGTTTCATGCAATATGGCCTTTCTGCTCCTTTGCAGTGATATCAACAAGATCAGCAATGCCATCGCTGAGCAGGTGTCTATCTTCATTGAGAGGATGTCTACGTTCGTGTTTGGCTTCTTGGTGGGATTCATCGGCGGGTGGAAGCTGACTCTGGTGGTCATCGCCGTGAGCCCGCTGATTGGCATAGCTGCTGGACTGATGGCCATGGTAAAGTAGAGAATCAGGCCATGACTTCTTATTACTGGAAGGGGAGTACAGTTCTACAATGCGTGGAGCCGTATGCCACAAATCATTTACTTATCTTGAAGATTTTAATACGTCAAGTCCCTCTATCTTCTATCGATTGCAGAACGAGGTAATGCTGTTATAAGCACTTGCATTTGCAGTATTGAAAAAACGTGTCCGTGGTGACTTTCCCAGGAAAGACAATACTGTTAGAATCTCTCGGAAGCGAGATACAAAAACACACCCGCAGTTAGCTCTCATCACCACAGCTGCCACTGTAGGAAATTGTCCTGGAGATCAACACGTTGTCAGTTAAATATGGCCGGTCCTGTTTTTTGTGTATTTGTTGTCGCTGAAGGCCGTGGCCAGGTTGACGGGACGAGAGCTGGCGTCCTATGCGAAGGCAGGCGCCGTGGCGGACGAGGTCCTGTTGTCCATGAGGACAGTAGCAGCATTTGGTGGGGAGGCCAAAGAAGCTGAGAGGTATAAAGTTGTTCTGCTTTGCAGATGATGACGAGCCGTAACGCCATGATTGTTCATCAAAGTGTAATGTGAAATGTGTTCAGATACGACAGAAACCTTGAGGAAGCTCAGATCTGGGGAGTGAAAAAGGGAACAATCTTAGGCGTTTTTCAAGGATACCTGTGGTGCATTATTTTCCTTTGTTTCGCTTTGGCGTTTTGGTATGGATCTAAATTGGTCATAGACACCAAGGAGCTGTCTCCTGGTACCCTCATTCAGGTATGTGATAACAAATTAATTTAACTTCTAACATGCAAAGTCAGTGGCCTTTGAGTCACCACGAGGCCACTATGTTTTTCCAGGTGTTCTTTGGAATACTCATGGCAGCCATTAACCTGGGCGAGGCCTCACCTTGCCTGGAGATATTCGCTTTTGGTCGCGCTGCAGCAAAAAACATCTTTGACACAATTGACCGGGTAACGTTTTAATGCTACTTCAGACTTTACTGCAGAACTAACACATATTTGAAACATAACATCTAAATCTTCAATGCTTACAGGATTCAGAAATTGATTGTTTCTCAGAAGACGGTCACAAGTTAAACAGAGTAAAAGGTGACATTGAGTTCCATAATGTCACTTTCTACTACCCATCCCGGCCTGAAGTCAAGGTGCCTTTCGCCAACACACATTCATCTGCGTTCATTTTTTACTTTTCAGGTTTAACTCATAAAGAACAAACTACTTTTTCAGATTTTAAATGATCTGAGCATGCAGGTCAAAGCAGGAGAAACCACCGCTTTTGTGGGACCAAGCGGATCTGGGAAGAGCACCACAATTCAGCTCATCCAAAGGTTTTATGACCCAAAGGAAGGAATGGTAACAATCTGAGCAATTGCATAGACACACAAGACATCACTGGAGAGTTTAAGGGCTTCAGTGTAATGTTACATATATGATTCCTGTTCTCAGGTAACTTTGGACGGTCATGACATTCGTACTTTAAACCTCCAGTGGCTCCGGTCT